TGTGTCGAAGCTGACGCGCTTCGAAAGCTTGCGGGATCCAGTGCCAGCATCAGACGACTTGTCCTTCTGCGGAGTCGAGAACAGATCACTTCTAATATCTCTGTTGATGACAAGCTTCTTGGAGCCAGTGCTGCCGTACCACCGAGGCTGAGATCCGTTAGAAAACGCGCCAGGGGCAAGGATACTGTCCTCCGTGTTGAAGCTGCGACGAAGGTTGTTGGTTGACATGCTCCTGCTCAATCCACCGCTCCGGCTAGAGCCTAGCAAGCTGTGGCCGAGGTTTGCGTTTCCAGGCGTGCTCGAGATGCTGCTAGCAGGGCTGCCTGAGGGAGTGCCGTAAGTGCTGTACGAAAAACCAAAGCCCCTCTTCTGGGGAGTAGCGTAGCGGGATGCGGATGCAGGTGCCAGCTTGTACATGGGCAAGATCGAACTTCTCCTAGGCTTAGAGCTTCCGTTGAGAGGAGTAGCAAGAGGGCCGGGGTTTTGGACCTCATTGCCGCCCAAGCCAGCAAACAAACCAGGGGAGCCAAACGCCGAGACATCATTAATGTTCGCCGTGAGTCCCTGGGGAGCATTGGCTGATTGGCTGTTGCCAAGCAGCGAGGAGCCGTTCACCTGCTGCTGCTGGTTGGTGCTTGCGCCAAAGAGAGACGAACCCTGGTTTGTGTTTTGGCCTCCGAACAAGCTGGATCCAGCGGCGTTGTTGGTGCCACCGAACACATTGGGCTTCTGCTGCTGGTTGTTTGCGTTCCCGAAGAGGGAGCTGCCAGCCGTTGCCTGGTTCGTGTTGTTGGAGCCGAGACCACCACCAAAGAGGCCACCACCACCAGTGTTTGCCTGAGCAGTGTTATTACCTCCGAAGAGAGAGCCCCCGGTGGCAGGCTTGTTTCCAAACAGACCTCCACCAGCAGCATTGTTCGTGGCGCCAAAACCTGTGGTGTTGGTATTGGTGTTTCCTCCACCGAAAAGGCCGCCGCCAGTCGTATTGGTCTGAGCAGTGTTGCCAAACAGGCCGCCCGCAGGTTTGTTGGCGTTGTTGCCGAACAAGCCTCCACCCGTGTTGGTGTTGGCATTGTTTTGACCAAACAATCCAGTTCCAGTGTTCGTCTGCTGCTGGTTGTTGCCGCCACCGAAGAGGCTTGAAGTCTGGTTGGTGTTGGCATTGTTGCCAAACAGGCCACCACCAGTGTTGGTGTTTGTGTTGGTTGCTCCAAAGCCGCTGTTCGTGGTGTTTCCAAAACCGCTTGTGGTGGCAGCGGTGTTGGTGTTGCCGAAGCTGAACCCAGTACCAGCAGGCTTGTTCTGTGCACCTCCGAAGAGACCACCGCCGGTGTTCGTGTTGGTTTGACCGAAGCCCGTTCCAGTGTTGTTCGTTGCGCCGAAGCCGCTGGTGGTGGTCGTGTTGGTGTTTCCTCCTCCGAAGAGGCCACCACCCGTGTTCGTTGTGCTGCTACCAAACAGACCACCTGCAGGCTTGTTGGCGTTGTTGCCGAACAAGCCTCCACCCGTCGTGTTGTTGGTAGCGGCTGTAGAGCCAAAGCCCGTAGAGCCGAAACCTGAGGTTGCAGTGTTGGTAGCGGTGTTTCCTCCTCCGAAGAGACCGCCGCCAGTTGTGTTCGTGTTCGTTCCGAAGCCTGATGTCGTGGTAGTATTTGTGTTAGTGCCAAAACCTCCACCAAAGCCCGAGCTCACGCCAAACGCACCGCCGCCGCTGGCATTGCCATGCCGCCGTCCCTGAACATAGTCTGCAAGTCGAAGCTCTTCGGCCGACCACTTCTTGTAAGGGTCCTGGAAGAGAACGTTCTGGAACGAGTTGGTCGAGGTGCTGTTTGGCTCCTTCTCAGTGTGGGCCTGGAAAGGGGTTATGGCAGTGCCTGGAGGGTCACCGACGCCGCCGCCGAGGGTGTTGGTGTTGGAAGTGCCGAACCCGGTACCAAACCCGGTTCCAGTGGTTGTGGCTTTTCCACCACCAAAGAGCCCACCGGTATTGGCCGTGGCCCCAAAGCCAGTGCTGGTGGCATTGTTGTTTCCAAACATACCACCTCCAGTGTTGGTGCTCCCAAACGTCGACGTATTGTTGGCCGTGTTACCAAATCCTCCAAAGCCAGTTCCGGTGTTGGTCGTGGTATTGGAGGCTCCAAAGAGGCCGGTGCCAGTGTTGCCAGTGGAACCAAATGTGGTGGCAGGCTTGCTGCCGAATCCGCCAGTCGTGTTGTTGGATCCGAATCCGCCTAAGAATCGTCAGTATGTTTGTGTCGAAGATCGGTGATCGCCGCTCCGTCTCCTCTCTCAATCGTAGATGGCAGCGGCGCGTCGAAGCAGATTCTGCGTACCGGTCGATGAGCCGAAGCCGCTCGTGGCGTTGTTGTTGGTGTTGCCCCCAAAGAGGCCACCGGACGTGTTCGTTTGGCCAAAACCGCCGCCAGTGTTGTTCGACCCGAAGCCTTTCGGGCGATTCCAATCAGCACCGCCGCCATCATCATCATCCACCGGGTGGTTGAAAAGGCATGTTGCTTACCTGAGGTGTTGGTAGTATTATTGGCTCCGAAGCCGCCAAAGCCTGACGACTGGTTCGTGTTGTTGTTATTTTGGCCGAAGCCACCGAAACCGCCGCCGAAAGACATGATGTCGGTCACGCTATCGACGCGGCTCGGGAGAGGAAGGTGTGTACTTCTCGCGGCGAGCTTGAAGCAGCTGTCGCGCTGTTGTCGTTACTGTGGATAGCTCGCGATGCGAAATCGATGGTCGAATTGATGCGAATCGCGCGTGTAGTCGCAAAACTGATCGTCCGAGATGAATCGACGATGGATAGTCTCGCGATGGTGAGATGGCGCCGAGCTTATCAAGACTGAGAGATGCGAAAACGCGCTGTTGTGTTGCACCACCACTGCAGAAAAAAGTAACAGGGGATGATGCAGCTGTGGAAAAAGCGCTTCGGAGCGAGCGCCAGAGGCCGCAGCAAGGGCTGCGTGTGTCACGAAGGAAGGGGGTAAAACAAGGAACCGGGAAAGGAGGGGATGATCGAAAGAGCAGTGAGAGAGAAAGAGCGGACCAGAAGAGATGGGCGCCCTTATACACCTCGAGCTCGTGGCGATGGATGAGTTGGTGGTGAGGTCAGTTCTCTCTCGGCCGTCAGTCCAGCCAGCTTTTTTTTGGGGCGGACCTCCGTGCTCAGGCAGGTTGGCAGCTCCTGCGTTGCTGCCTCAGACAATAACTTTGTACCTGATTGGCCTCGGACACTGTGCTGACTAACATTGGCCAATTAAATGTCGGGGCTGGGCTACTTGCAGGCTGAGTCACTGGTGCCTGCGGTATGCCTAGAGAGTGACTTGATCAGCAGGTACACAGGCATGCAGTCTCAGTAAAAGTTGAGACACCGGTGAAGATGGCAGAGCAGTTATGAGTTTACGACAAAATTTCGATCTCTAGAAGAATGCATTTGATTGTTTAAAAATTCATGTTGAAAGATTGAGTAGTCTTTTTTAAAAACTCGTGCGTTTACTTTTCCCTTTTAAACCTCTTTCGTCCGCTTTTCTTTGAGTTCAACACTTTAGAGGTGCCAGTTTGCTGTAGGTACCCTATTTTTTCCTGCACCCCCAGCTGTGCTGCTAAGGCAGACTCGGCCACCCGGGCGCGAAGCTAGGAGCGCGTCTTTGGTTGGTCGCGTCGCAAGCTTTCTCTCAGCTCATGGATCCATCCATATCCATTGCGAGCAACAACACCACGAAGCAACCCTTGCGCCACGCCCATCCTGCATCTCGACTCCTTCTCGCCGACCTGCTCCGCCATTATCGAGTTCCGCGATCATAGCTAAATCAGAATCTCGACAGTATCTCTCTTCTCTAGCGGCGTCATCTTTCCAATTGCCCTCTTCGTTCGACCCGCGCCGCCTTTTTCGGAATTCCTCCCCCAGCCACCTGCGTCTTGCAGCAATAACAATGAATTCGCACACAACACCACGCCCTGCCTTTCCCGTGCGGTCAATAGGCGGCGGTGGCTCAAGTCACCCGCCGCAGTCTCGACAACCGGTGGCTCCTCAAGTTTCATCCAACGAAGAATACAGCACCATTCCCGAGGAGGATCGCGAGCACATTGATGAAGTCGTAGGTCGCGCCCATCCAGCTGCAGAAAGCACCAAGACGCCTTAGCTCACATTCAACCTTCCGCTACTAGTTTGACCTCATGGACATGAAAAAGAAGGGATGGCTCAACAGCTACGAGTTTAGGCACTCGCTAGCAGCTCTCGGGTTCGACATGTCCAAGCCCGACTACTTCAGAGAGCTAGAATCATACGGCACCGTACCTCCAGACTGGCAGGACCCCCACAGCTGTCCCGTAAACCGTCTCTACGTCTATCTCGACCAGTTCAGGCTATGCGCCGCCAAGCTATTAGCCAATCGAGATCCTCGACAAGAAGCGACAAAGGTGTTCAACATGTTTGACTACGATGGAGATGGCATAATATCCTTTGAGGATATGCGACGCTTGGCCTCGGACATTAAAGAAGAGAGGACAATGACGGACGAAGAGATCCAAAGCATGATTGAACATCTGGACCACGAGGGCAAGGGCGGTGTCAATCTGGAGGAATTCATCCAGATGATGGAGGAGGCTGGGTAAGCGCATATTTAAAGAGGGCCCTTCAAGGGCATGGATATCATGGACATGCCAGGCCATGGCAGACAAGGAGCCACAGTTCCTGAACCAGCGTCCAGATCGTCAAAGGGTTTGCGCGCCTCCCACTCGCCGCGTCAAGCTTTCAAGACCTCAATTTTCGAGGTCCTTCTTTAGACGGTCAAGGGCTATTCACTGTCAGGGTCATCTTTTGGCAAGCAATCATCTCACAGTCCTTCACATAACCCTGAGATATGACGGATTCAATCAAGACCAACAACACACAGCAGCTGGGTCAGGCGAAGTGGCAGGTCCAGTCTTTTCCAGCATTTGGCTAGCTAGTTGTCAGGCTTTACACAAAGACGAGGAGGGAATGGCGCAAAGGATTGCAACGGAGTATGGAGTAGATTTCAATGAGATCTAAGAATTGTTTTTGAATGCGTCAGGCGCGCTGTCTAAATTCCCCATAGTCCATCATCGCAATAGCTTCCTATTCCCGACAACTAGGCCTCCCAGATACCAGCTCAACTTTGGTCGAAAGCCACAAAAATGTACTGTGAACAGGGGAATACCATACTTCGCCTGCGCAAAACACGGGAATCGGATTGGGTCCGGAAGGTGTGAAGATGAAGGTGTAACAAAGAAAAGGTGGATGATCAAATAGAGGAGTCGCTCAGCCAGAGATGGCCGGCAGAGATGGAGGGACGTGAGTCAAGATCTCAAAGCTGGGGTTAGAATTGGATCAGGTCTTGGTTCTGCTGCTGTTGTTGCGGTCCTGGGTGGGCAGCGAAAGGGTTGTTGGTCTGGCCGTTCAAGCCCGCAGGCCCAGTAGCTGCAGGCATCTGGGCGCCGTAGTTGACAGTGGGCATGCCTGTGAATTGCTGTCGAAGGAATGGGTTGTTTCCTGTTGCCTCGGCATTGATTCGGGCCACACCCGCACCAGCGCTGTTGACAAATGTGCCAGGGGCTGTGTGCTGGGCGGGGATACGGAGGTTACCTGTGTTGCCAAAGGTGTCCATACCGTCACCAGTAGCGAGCAGCGTGTTGAGCCGGGTCTCGTGCTCGTTCATCTCCTTCTGGGGAGCGTTGAATGCCGGTTGTGCCTGGGGGAAGCTGTTCTGCTGCTGCAGCTGGGGTTGGCTACTAAAGGTATTGAGGGTCTTTTGCTCAGGGAGAGCGCCCAGGGAAGAAATGGGGTTGGGTCGGGCAGATTGTGGGCGGCCGAACTGGGCAAATGGGTTATTGGATCCAGTTGGAGTGGGCTGCAGCGCAGTCTGGTTCTGGTGAGTTGCCCAAGGATTGTTGCTACCGGGCTGCAGAGTGGTATCAGGGGAAGCTGGTGACGATAGTGACTGTTGCGGCTGCTGAGGTTGCTGTTGCAGGTAGGGGTTGAAGCCAGTGGGCTGAGGCTGCTGGAAGGCCAGTTGTTGTTGTTGCTGCTGCTGGACCTGTTGCTGGCCATAAGGATCCATGTTCATGGGCTGGCCGAAGCCGGTGCTGAGGTTCGTCTGGAAGCCAGTGGGCTGCTGTCCCTGCTGCGGGAACCCGGTATAGGCATTGGCCATGTAACCAGTGGGTTGGGGTTGGTTCTGGTCGATGGGGTTTGCGAAGAAGTCGACTGGGTTTCCTTGCTGGTATCCTTGGTTGAAGCCAGTGTACTGTGGCTGGCTGGTTTGCTGCTGAGGGACAGGATCATCGTCGAAGAGAGAGTGAGCGTTGCTCTCCTCCAACTCCTTGCGCCTCTTCTCCTCTTCCTCTTGGCTAAGCTTGATCGCCTTTTGCAAGTCATCGTCATCCTCGAAACCCCCCCCATGCTGTCGGCTCTCTCTCTTTTTCCGGTCTTCCTCCTCTTGATACTTGCTGGCCTCAATAGCCAAGCGATACTCGGTGTCTTCCTCATCATTCGCCACCCGCCTCTCACGCTGGCGCCGGTTCCCATGTGCGGCGGCGGCGGGCTCGGCGTGCTGGGGGGCGAACTCCTCGAGTCCGGTAACGCGCGACTTCCAGGATCTCCGATCGCTTCGCTCGGCTCGTAGTCTATCCTCGTCCAAAATCAGAGCAGTCAACTCCTTTGCAGCAACTCGGACTTTTTAACCGTTAGCGACTGTCGTACGTGACCGAGTCAAACCACTTGCCGTTCTGTCCAACATCGCGACCCTCTTCATCGACGTATTGGAACTCTCGCAGGGTCTTGATAATGTAAATGCTCTGGCGAGCCCAAGTGACGACAAGCTCTGAGCCCTCATGCAGACAGTAATCAAGAACCTTGAGAGCTTTCAGGACGTGTCGCCAGTTCTTTCCCTTGTCGTTCAAACGTTTATCGATCATGTCCATAATCTCGTAGAACTCTGTAGAACTAATCGCGCCATGTCAAGTCAGTACTCGGGCCTTTGCGACAAGGAGGATTGAACCGGTCTTGGTACGCCTACGTACGTGTTGTAGGTCATCTGAGCGATTTCGCTCATCTGAGTACCAGTCGGACCCCAGGGGTCATTGCTGGTCGCTGTTGTTCAACTCATCAGCGGGCGTTCCGAGGCGCGGGAGTAATGACCAGAGTGCGAACCTTCTCTGACCTTGACCTGGGCACTGGAGTAACCCTTGGTCACATTTTTGACGCTTCGCATCACCTTGGACATGGTGGGCAAGTCTTGGTATTTGCGGTCGGGGTATTGGTGTAGGGATAAGTAGGGGGTTGCGTCCTGGGCGCCAATCGATCGGTCGCCGCAAGGTTTCCTTCAATAGTCGGCGAAGCTCTCGGAGGGCGTATTCCGGTCAAAGGCCCTGAAGCAAGACGATGTCGGCGACAAAAATTCCAATGCGCTCCGTGGATGAAGTCGACGGAGAGAGGCGCAGGGAGGGGGTATGCCAGGGTCCCAATAAGCTCCCAAGGTCACGAGATGCTCAGTCCCGCTCTCGACGATGAATGTCGACGCGGCGTTTGCGATAGATTCAGTCAAAGACCCCAAATAAAAAACTCCAATGTTTGGTTTGAATTGGCGATTACGGCCAAGACGTTTGTGGAGAGGAGAGGTTGGCGGATGCGGTCGTGGGGTGACTGGCCACCTGCGTTAGGTAGTGTCGGGGTTTGGAGAGGTCGGGGAAGCCGGCCAAAGACGACGACGTATGTCCAGCACGATCTGGGATGCGGCTCGGGCGCGGATTAGAGGGAGGCGAGGGCGCTTCAGGAGATGAGGGAGCAGCGCTGAAGATATGCAAAGTTTGCCGCCTACAAGAAGAAGCTTCAGCTGAGCGATATAAAAACGACGCTGGACGCGACTCGTAAGTGATAGTGCAAGAGCAAGAGGATGAATACTGTAGGTGGGCGCTGTCGGGCGGGTTGGGGAGCGAGCGGCGACGGGGACGGGAGCAATGGAACCAAGGCCCAAGGCATGGAAATGGAAGGCAAGTGGCAGTGGCTGCGCAGGGTGATTACGTATTCGTACATGGCCACCCAGCGGTGCCAGCTTTACACTTTGCCAGCAAAGCACCTGGCAGTGACAGGCGATGCGCCTTGGCGAGTCCACTAGCCACGCCAAGGTTTGCGGGGGGTCGAGAGTGCGAGACAGCATCTCGGGTGCTTCTCAAGGCATCCGTTATTGGTAGGAGATGAGGGGGCCACGGGCGCAGCTGGTATGCCTCCTCTATGCGTGAATTCCTTCATTTTCCTCAATTTTTATCACGCTTTGCCGGACCGACACATCCAGATGTGAACTCCGAGGCCTCGACCCAGAGTGTGGCTGACCAAGGCGGATGAGGCTTAGTTATGGTGTCTGATAGGCTTTCGCACAGTTCGTTGCGTCCGAATAGGAAATACTAGCCACAACTACGTCACGGCCGGGCTGCGACTAAAAGACCCCTACCCTACCGGCCGGACCAAGCCGCGTCGACAACATCTCAAGCGGCAGTTGCAAGAGAAATTGGTTCCTGTTTCAATAGTTTCTTGGTATTATAATCCATTGTGTTTGTTTTGATAGTGTAAGACTAGAGGTTTAGGATATTGTGCGGGTTTGACAGAAAATCTTGGTGATTAGGCATCAATTCCACTTTCACAGCTTCACGTTCCAGTTTCTATCCTTGACCGTTCCATTAACCGTATGCACAACATCCGAAACAAAAGATCGACATGTCCAAGCCAAAGAACTGGCCTGATGGCTTCCCTTACCTCCATGCTCCGCTCCACGACAAGAGCTTGAGCCCGGCCCATATACAGTCTCTCCGCACCAAGCCTTCAAGCGACATCCCGGTTGTTCCATCCCCGTCTACTGCAACCCCCTGTCCTCTTGTCAGAATCCAACCCATCATCAACCCTTCTCATCCAGCCAACGGCCAGAGTGGTCTCTTTGCAGCACAGAATCTAGCACCGGGTAGCTTCATCCTCGCATACCTTGGACGCGTGCACTCTGGCGCCGCCTCTTCAACCGAGAGTGACTACGATTTATGGCTGGACCGTGAAGCGGATGCCGCGGTGGACGCTGCACGTGAGGGCAACGAAGGGCGTTACGTGAACGACTATCGAGGCGTGGGTGAAAGGGCGAATGCCGAGTTTCGCACGGTATTTTGTGAACGCTGGGGTGAGCTCTGTGTTGGAGTTTGGGTTCTTGGGAGTGGAAAGAAGAAGAAAGGGGCGGGGGGTATTCGAAAGGGGGAGGAGATTCTGGTCAGCTATGGGAAAGGTTTTTGGGGAGAAAGAAGGGCAGAGGAGTATGAATATGAGAATTATGAGCAATATGAGCAACGCGGTGAGGGAAAGGTAGATGAGGAGGCTAAAGCTGATGGAAATGAAGAGTCAACATCGTGATACCAACTCGTGGTATTGGAGACTGACCACCAATAATTCTCCTTACTTTAGGCAGAATAACACTCAATCACTCAATAAGAAAAGCTTTTCTGTATCGTGAACGAACCTTGAGTGACTCAGAACCATATTTTGATAGCAGTCATATTGACTTCTCCAATGCATTTTGAATCTCGAGCCGCGCGTTTGTTGATGGATGATGGACATATAAGAACTTCTTCTCTGCAATATGGCCGACCAAGAATCTCATCTCCGCATCCAAATCTCGACTCTACTCTCAGCAACGACAAAACTTCACCTTTTAACCATCACTCATCAAGATGATCCAAGGCTATGACTCGGCCCTCATGGCCCCAATGACACCCATCGTGAAGGCTTCTCAGCTGAACGCGACTATAGTATACTGTGAGCCTCTCCCTACCTCTGATTCTTTTCTCTGTCTAATTTGTACAGTGATGCTTCTGGATTACCTTCTACTCATTGTTATCCCCTTGTTCTTCCTGCTCGGGGCCTGCATCAGCAACGATCCAGTTTATCCAAGCTATGTTTTCAGTAAGGCGAATCATTCACCCCTTCAAGGTCTATTTACTGATCATTCTCAGGTTTCCCTCTTCCAATCCACCCGGCTCAAAAAGCTCACGAGAGGGATCTCTATCGCGCCCTGGCTCTCTTCTGGCCTACGGGTCTAGTATGCGCTTGGTTTGCGGTTCGCCAAGTTTGCCATGACCAGAAGGGCGACTTGATGGCGCAGCTGCCAGCAGTATTCCTCGGATTCTGCATCTGCTTCATCACGTACCGAATCTCTTTTCTTAAATTCGATTCCAACGAACAACAGCTGGTATTTTTGGACGACAAGGACTTGGCTTCGGACCGAATGGAAGCCACAACTGTTGGGAGGCGGAGCTTGGAAGGGATAGAGTGCGTATGAGCATACCGTGGCTTGTTGTTCTCTTTTGCCCCATCTTGGTAATATGGATCCTGCCAGATACAGAGGTTAAACAGTATAGTTGGAAGTTCTGTCAGAATCAGAATAAAACTTGTTGTCTTTTTTCTGCATATGCCTATTAGGACGTGCGAACAAGAGCCTATCTGTCAGGAACCACGAAATCATTAGGGAAAGACTGTGCTCCCCCAAGTATATGCATAGGAACGGCACAAGGATGGTCATGGTCAGTCTTTCTACTCTTTGCGTATTCTAAGGATCCGAGTCTTCATTGTGTCTATTTCTCCTCGATATGGCTTCTCCGCCGCCCCTTGCCTTCCTGTTCACGAGTAGACCATCTGAGATTCTCAATCTCTTTGTGAAGACATTCCTCGTAATAGTCCGCGTTCCTTCTTATGCTAAAAGTGGCAATGCATATCGAGAGACCAGCCAGGCCAAAGCCCGCGCTGAAGGCGATTCGCTCAGATCGTGTCATTCCATCTCCATATTTGAAGCAAACTACGATGCAGGAAGCCAGGTACCCAACATACGGGATGATGAAATAGGGGCATTCTCGCGCCTCTGTCCTTTCGTAATACTCTTGGAGTCTGGCATCTGTCACATCAAGGTCAGTTAAGCGGGTATTAAATTGAACGGCTTGCTATCCTCACCTGGGTCTCTGTAGGTACGAAGCTTCTTGAGAGCCTGTTCAACGTGATATCTGCCGCCAAGAATCGAAAAGAAGTTGGAAAACGGCATCAAGGCCACCACTCCAAGGAGCATGATGACCACTGTATGTAGTTAGCCAGATTGGGCTTTTGCATCAATATGCGTGAGTGCAGATCATACTGAAAGCGCCATCCTCGCTTCTCACTTCGCAGGTAGTGTTTGGTGACATGTTTGTTCAAGTGTTTTGGGAGAAGGATGCAGGAGGAAAGACCAGAAAAAAGCTCTAAATGCACAAGAAAGCCACCAAGACGAAACAGTAGAAGCTGATGTGTTGTTCGCATTAGAATTTGCCCACTTACGGCGTGATTCCTTCTCACTGTTTCGGGCGTACCTCTTCGTGCCCATGCACAAACTCGGCTGCATGACGAGCTCTTTTTGTGGAAGTTTCTTCATCAAATATCCAATTCTCCCTTATAATTACCTCGAGCTCGTGAATTTCTTTATACTCGGCATCATCATGAAAGAACACTCTCCTCACTCTTCTCAAGCAAACACATTCACACATCAAGATGTTGCCCCCTGACCCAGCACTAGAGGCACCTTTTCAAACCAACGAAGTTCCAATGGCTGCCTGTAAGCACACTGCACGTTCGTTGATCAATCTTGAATTACGAAACTAACGTATGACACCCAGACTACCTCAGCTTTAGCATCCTATTCATACTCTTGTCAATCGGCCTACTGAATTTGGCACCGGATCCAGACGAAGTGCAACGACAATTTGAGGAATATAAATATTACGAGCTTAACAAGCCTAGCGAGCCTAGCGAGCCTGACGACCCTGAAGAGAGCAAAGCATCAAAAGAAAAAACTGGGTGTTCTAGAAGTTATATCTTTGAGTGAAAGGCTGTGTTGGTAGAAGATGGGCTCTCAGAGGCATCATGTCTGTTGGTATCACCAATCTCTCTAACCTTGCAGAATCTCACATGGGACGACAAGAACAATTATTCTCTATCTTACGCGGTTGCCTATAGTGTTATTGTTCACACGCAACTGTTCAAGATGCTACATGGTGTTGATGACACGGCTGCAAGAGACAAAGTCAGTTGGAAGCCTCGGTGCAATTTTTTCAGTTCTTGTCACTGATGGCTGCCTGTGCTGCGCCTAAACTTAATAAAATCCCATCATGACCTACTTGATATGCCGTGTCCTCATGGCCCATTCATGTCCACTGCTGCCCATCTTCAACTCTCTCTGCCCGCACATCTAGAACTCTTCAACCCTTGGACGCAACTCTCTTCCACGATCTTTACCCACATCAGAATGCAGCCTTTTTCAATCGGCTCAGCCATGCCTATGGATTCTGCGAATGCTCTCCTCCACCTGCTTTACTCGATGATATGGGTAGGATCGCAATTCGCCTTCTCGCACTATGAAAACAACCGCCATAAGAATATTGCGCCAGGTATAGCATGCTCTTCTGAAACCCATGGTTCTTCGCTTACACGTTCCGTCTTGCAGCCGACACGGACAGGTATAGACGGTACAAGAGCAACTTTGACGCTGTGTTTGAGGCAAGCCAGTTCCTCGTCTACTTTGTCGCCATCAACTTGCTCGTCGCAAACGTCCTCTTCACCCGCGACTGCATCGACACGTCCAAGATCTTGAAGTTTCAATTCTGCTTGAATCTGATGGGTTTCACGCAAATGGCATTTGCATTGTGCCTTCATGCACTCACGACTATCTATCGGAAGAGATCGGAACCAAACAGGACGTCACGAAGAGGTCGAGGAAGGAAGCCGGAGGACGCATGGGTTCTTTTGTCAGAGAACTGGGCCATGCTGTAGTGACGTCCTTGTCGGCAGATATAGAACTCGTCTCAAAGGCCTCTTTGCTTTATAAGATAATGATGAGATAATACCATAAATCAATCTAATACTTGCCATCTCTTTTATTTCTATTATACTACTTTATTGTTATAGCTTCCTATTGGTAGGGATATGCTGACCCGTGCCGAGCACCGAGCGACTTGTTGATCGTCCACTCATGTTTGGTGAAGTTCGTGCCCATTTCCTAATTGGGAAAGCAACGCGAGCAACCCTGTACCATCCATCGAGTTGAAGATGACGACGTAAACCTCGCGATTCCGAAAGACCGAGTTGTATAGAAAATGTGTATAAATATGAGTTGTCTTTCTTTCGGCTAGATGTATTCGTTTTCCCCTTTAACCTATCGCTCATGACCTCGACTCTCAGAAGATTATCTGTTTACTCAACTCCATCTTACACACGCTCATATCATACCAATAAACCATCTCAACTCCAACACATCTATTCTTCCATCATGAATCCTCAATCCTCTCAATCTGCAGCCACTCGTGTTGTACGAACTACCCATGCAGAAGATGGCACCTCTGTCTTTGCTTCCGACACTCAATCCACGCCCTACGCACCCTTCGGCCCCAAAGCCAGCGTCTTCAACATCTTTGACACACGTCAATCCATCCCAGCCAACAACACAGACGCAATCCTTTCATTTGCCGACACTCTTCCACGGTGTCCACCCAAAGGTGCCATCTTTTGCATGACGCAGATCCAACCCGGCGGTAGCGCGCCCATGCACCGCACCCAGAGCCTCGACTACCTCATTGTCATGTCTGGCGAGATTGTGCTGGTGCTCGATGGCGGAGAGGAAAAGACTGTGAGAGCGGGAGAACTTATTGTCCAGCAGGGTGTGAATCATCAGTGGATTAACCGTGGAGAAGTGCCTTGCAAGATTGTCTGTGTCATGCTGGGTGCGGAAAAGGTTGCGTTGAAAGACGGCACAACTTTCGAGGAGACTGTTTTTAAATGAAGGGGAGGCATACGACGAGGGTTTGAGATTATTCTAGATTATGAGAATGGCTATATTGCAGACATATGGCCCAATTCCGACTTCATACCTGTACACTCTCGGATCCTATCAAAAACCAACTGTGCACTCGCCTTCTGTGACTCTGTCGCCAACCCACCAGGACTCTTAATAATCTTGATGGGCCAGAGTAATAGATAGGCGCCCACGGCCTGCCAGCGAGGAGGTTTCGACTCATCAGTCCAATACCGTCCTAACTGATCGACATCCCCAATGGACTGAGGAACTGACGACAAAACCTCGCCTGCTAGAGACTGAATGATGCCTGTAGATCCTCGTATTCGAATAGAGTCGGAATATTCTTTGGTTGGACTTAATGATGAGGCACTGCGTAAACAAGCCACAAGTTTTTGGTGGAGGATGATTCGAGCTGTCCGGTGGTAGTTCCACTCATAGGCCATCCATATATCCGGATGAAGCTGAATTGTTTCTGGGAACCAGACTTCTTTCTTTTTGGTACCCGAAATATCCGCCTTAGTCAAGGTACGAAATTCCCACTCAGGCTTGGCACGCCAGAGAGCAGCCTCCTTATCTAGGCGCAGCATCTCATCAACCAACTCACGAAGCTGATGGCCTGCGAGAACATCAGAATCGAGAGACTGAAGCAGTTTATTTGCCCTTTGGCATAAATTTGTGATAGCTAAGCCGTCTTTTTCTAGTCTCACCGAAGAAATGTCTTCATTCAGTGCCTCGAGCCAGTCATGGGATTCTGGAAGAGGGCTTAATTGTTTGGCGAGCTGCTGCTTTTGCTGCCCACAAGTTAGTAGATGGTATCTGGGCATATCAAAGCCCAAAACTCACCAATCGATGATGTGCTAAGCGAAATAAGCCCCATCCACGAGGGTCGTGGAACTGTTCATGCCCACGGAGTCGTAGAATGTGTGCCATGCCTTGAACATGGGACCCAGAAAGGGGGGAGTCAGGCATGAACAAAGACTATTTCCCGAGTTAGACTTGATATTAAGAATGTACATATATGTGCTCTGACCTCGAAAATGTCCAATATGACCACGGCCATCAAGTCGTAATCATCCGGGGCTTTGTCCTTCTCAGCCAAAGACTGTCCAAGTGCGTCAAGTGCTTTGCCATAGCACTCTAGCGATTGTCTGATCAACTCCTCAGAGGACTGTTCCCGTGAGAGATCGGCAAACGCACATGCCTGAACGGCCCAACGTAGCGCGTAGCGACCCTCTACATTGACTTCCTTGAACAAACAAGGGAGATGCTGCAGAAAGCCTGGAGAGGACGACTCGTTACATGGGAATAGAACGTATTTGTCCATGAATAAGCCTGCAGCTCGGTCTTCGTCGGAAGGAGTTTTGATTGATGATGGGTCTTTGAGCCATGGGAACGCGGGAGAAAGATTCATGGATGTCCTCGAGGTGAAGGAGCTCTCAGACGCCCGCTCAAGTGACCGGCTTCTGGTACGCCGACTTGGCGGAGATGAAGTTGAGGTCGTAGAAATGGAAGCGGTTTTACTCTTTTGAACAACCTTTTCCGTCTCATGCTGAAACATGAGATCACCCTCGTCTCTGTACCCAACGCAGAGTTCATTACGAGCTATACAGCGTTGACACGAGGGGAGCCCGCGATCACACTAAAGTTGATGGTTAGATGAGATTCTGTCTAGGTACTGGTATATGGGGGTTTTAACCTTGACCCGCCGTTGACGGCACCGTAGACAACCTCTGCTGCGATGAGACATGGTTTCGTAGCCGTCTTACATGTAGATGAAAGGTCCAAGTTGCCCCGCCGCATGAAGCTGACGCGTGCGCTAGTAGATCTCACCCGAGATTCAGAATAGCTTCGATGTATATCCAACTGACGATAGAAGACACCTAATTCGGAGAGACGGACTATCAATTTGTGCTATCCTATTGTTCATTATCTGATAGGGCACGGACTACTGGCTGTATTATAGGAACAAAGAAATCAAGACAAAGTTCCCTTTGTACACCACAAAGCAACGCCCTGGGTCGAAGCTCACCAATGAGCAGGTCGCTGAACATGTTTCTCGTCCATATTAGTTATATGAACAATTGGAAAAGTTTCTAAAAAAGGAATTAATAAGGAACTAAGGTTGTGGTATAAATGTCTTCTTGAGTACTTCACCTCACAACGTCTGCTCTGCGAACCGATTTGTCCACACTCGACCACAACTCATAGTGACTGGCTTGTCAAGACTACAGGAACTGTTATCTAGATAGCTACTGGTTGGCTTCTTCTGATAACTACTCTGTCAGCTGACTCGAGAGTCCCCTGTTTGTCGTCTAAGAAAACTCCACAATGCCTACTCACGCATACTATGGATCCTGCCGTGTCTCAAAGCGGCCCCCAACTTGGAGGAGCCGCAACGAGCGCCGCAATGGCACCGATAGTTGGACTCCCGACAAGGATTCCAGGAGTGAGAGGGGAGACTCCAAGGACGGGAGAGACAGGCAAGATAACCACAGAGACCGTACAGGTGAGCGAGAGGACTCCAGGAACGGTAGAAACAGGCGGGATCGTAGAGGTGAGCGAGAGGACACCAGAGATGAGAGGGAAGACTCGGTGCACAACAACTATGGCCGTGTCAACAACAACTACAACATCAACATCAGATCCTTTGGCGACAACGACCGGAGCAGGCACTGGAACGGCAACGTCCTGCGAGATCGCAACTTCAACACTTATGTCCGCAACAGACCTCGACGGGACCGATTCGATAACAGAAGATATTCCCCTGCGTTAAGTAGCCGTCAAAGTTCTAGACGCACCTCGTTTTCATCAAGGACTCGTTCGTGGGTTACTTCTGACTCGAATACCAATTCGTTCTCAGATCGGCCTGTTGATTCTATCGAAACCCCACGAGGGGGTGAGGATACTGATGAGACAGGTAGAAGAGAACGTGATGACGGAGACGATGAGTACTATGGCGCTCGTCAAGCTTACCGTGACATTAGCAGAGGTGATGTAGTTCAGGGCCGCATGCGCCCGACTGACCGGGTTTGCGACGAGAGCGAACTCAGACTCGGTGCCATCATCTCAACAGCCATCCACAACCAAGCTCGCGAGGACACAGTAGCCATCGACGAGTTCAACAAGTCCCTCTCCGGCTTTGGCATCGTCTACTCCAAGTATCGCAAGCTGATAGTCGTGGAGGAATGGGCCCAGCACGTCGTCTGCATACCGCTGTACACATACAACGGCCGAGGCCTCGCAGGCCGAGAGGCTCTGGCCTGCGAGTACTTTGACGTGCGCGATGTTGGCGACCCGGACCCGGAGAGCGGGGATACATTCTGTACCCTCATGGCAGTCCGTGATAGGGAGTGGCCTATGGAGAACACCTTTATCGAGGGCCGTACCGTGGCCAAGGTGACTGAGAAGATTACTTTCTATAGGACTAACAAGTGCTCGATCGAGGGTAGGATTGATCAGGAGAGCCTCAGCACACTGATCCCACCTTACCTTAGGTCGTCAACTAACCCACTGGCCAAGTTCTTGTCCCGTAGCCAATCTAACAGCCCAGCTGATAGTCCAACTGATGACGCAGCATCAGAGAAAGAGGAAGGGGAGATATAATGCTTCTCTTCCACTGCTCACTAGAAAGATAGATACTTGCTTACGAAAGCATTGGCAGTAGTTAGCCCCTTGCTATACGGATGATGGGAAAGGACACCAACACTACAAGGTAATGTTGCGAGCTTTTGATGAAACCAAGCTGCCTTGCCAAAACACTGACTAGATCAGATATTTCCTTTGTCTTTACTAGAAAATACACCACTATTCTCCATACATTTGCAAAACCTCCATGACGTGACTCCTGGGCCTTTTTATTCTCTAAAGTGAATCGATATCAGTTCCGCTCGCTACAAGAAAATATCCCATGACCTCAAGAACCCTAGCTAACTAAGTAGTTCCCCCAATCCGCGCCTAATCCTCCATGGTATAGTACAGCCGAAATTCCAATTCCACGTGCCCTCGCTGATAATCGTTCAAACATCTTCTCCTTCGGCGTCGACGTCACCCTCGTCGTCTTCGTGGTGTTCACCATCCGTCGCTGCTTCAGTGCCGTTGGGCTCGACAGCGTCTCCATTGGCCGGGGCACCGTTCGTCTTGGTAGAGACTACGACCGAGTCCTCCGCTGGCTCTTCTCCCGTCACCTCCTGCTCTGCATCGTTGCCTTCCGTGATGGGTAGCAGCTTGGGTTGCTTGTCTAACCACCCAGGCGGTAGACCAGGACCGCTATCAGCGTTTCCGTAGTCTGACTTCTTGGTTCCCTTTGGCCAGCGGCCGGGTCCACGGCCCGTCCCACCGGTTTTTCGTTTTGAGGCGCTCTTGGGTCTAGAGGATGAAGAAGGCCGGTGACTCTTACCGTTGCGTTTGGGCCTTGAAGCGCTGCTGACGGTTCGAGGTGCTGATGGCCGGTTGGCACTCTGCCGCGAACGATCCCGCCGACCACCAGGGACAGCTGGAAAGACCTCAAACCGGTTGGGAGGAATATCTTTGTATGGCAAAACCCAAGCTGGTGGCCCATCTTCCACTGTATCTCCCATCTCAATGTCCTTGGGTGATCCAGGCTGCTCCTCCTGGTCCGGATCAACCTCCTCAATGGATTGAACAGGGGTTGCTGCAGCTTCGCCGTTCACTAGCGGATGCTCCCCATTTGTATCTGCATCGGCCACACTCTTGCCCTCTCCATTTGTAGTTGGTTGACTCTCGGTGCCAACCGTGTCGACTCCTTCTCCTTCGTCAACCTTTGCTTCATCGTCCTCTCTCGGCGCGATGGTGTTGATGGGTGGGCCCAGCTCGAAATTGACCGCGTTGCTGCGACCCATGACGTACGGCGTCCAGACGAGAGCTTCTGGCTTCAGTTGTACGTAGCCCTTTGCCTCCCATTTGTTGACGTATTGTCGACAGTAGTCCACATCCACTCTGAACGCATACAGCTTCGTCTGTGGATCTCTGACCAGAGCCCTGAGGCCTTCCAAGGCGGAGATGACATCGTCTGGGGTCATGCCCGTGTCGTCAGATATCCGCTTGATACTGAGTCCCTCGCTCTTGTGGTCCTCGGTTTCCATGACGTTCAAGAAATAGCGGCAGAGAATTAAACGCCAGTAGTTTCTGTACGACACCAGACCCATATCGGATAGAGGCTTCTCAGGCGAGCCCGTCTTTTCCTCGACCTTGGTGAGTAAGTATGAAAAGTCAATGAGGAGGTTACCATAGCCTTTGCGTTGGTGTATTGGTAATGTCAAGATACACGAGACATTATTCTGGCTGCTGGCTCTCTTCTCTTTCGAAAAGTATCCAACAAAGTGATACCCGGTGTCGTTGTATTCGCATAGAACGTAGAAGAGAAAGGGCTCAACGTCATAGTACAACGTTTTCGAGCCAAGGAACAGCTTGGCAAGAAGGCACAGGTTCTGGCAGTACACAGGGTTCTTGCGTCCGTCAACCTCAAAGACAGACACCGACTTGTGACGGTAGATCTCATCTCCTGGCGGATGCTTAGCTGGACACTTGAGCTTGTGCCTCCAGGCGACGTAGTCCGAGTTCATGTACTTGAGACAGAACTCGCAGATGTAGAGCACGCGGTTCCGACTGTATTCAGCTGGATATGGCGCAGCATACCACGTGTCAATCTCCCAGCCGCCAAACTCGATGCATTCGATCTGGCTGGCGTTCTCGCTCGACTTCTTGTGCTTTCGAACTGGCAGGTCGGCATCTGCCTGCATGGCGAGGACCCGTGCTCTCCATTCATCCTCGGCCTTTTTGTTGGCATCGTCGAATCTCCGACGATCTTCAGGTGCTGGAAGAGTCTTGGAGGTGTCGGCTTCCGCCTCGGTGAGGATTCCGCCGTATGGCTTGCCCTTCATCTCGTCCGTCTCCCGGTCAAAGAAGGAATAGAATGGTTGTGAGTAGTTGTCTGATGTGAAAGGTGTTGGGAGGGCGGTTATCGGAGTAGGAATAGGATTGGCTCTGGGAGTGGCTGCTGGTCGGTGGGATGAAGGTCTAGCAGCACTGCCGGGCGGTCGCCTGTCGCGCCTTTTGCGAGAAAGTATTTCCTTAAGATTTCCGGGTCTGACCTGGATCTTTAGGACAAGTGATGTGCGTGTACGTTTCTCCGTAGTGACGGGAGGGGGGCGCGTGACTTTGAGACGAAGCGTGCGAGAAGGGTTGTGTCGATTTGGCTCGGCGCTTCCATTGCGCGTTGTGCCTTCATGTGAAGACGTTGGCTCGTTCGACTGATTACGTCGTCGCTTTCTTAACGATATGACATTATCGTCATCTTCGAGGGACGATGACTTTCGTTTCCGCAATGTTCGAGTCTCGTCTATGGGTTCCTCGGGTAGAGCTTCATCGTCGATTTGAGAAGTCAGAGGTTCGTCATCTGCATCTGGCTCAAACCGTACTTCTCCAGAATGATCTGGAAGGTCGGATTGTTGGGAGGGGAGCTCCATGTCGTGATTGACACTTTGATCGTCCATATCTTCATCGTGCTCTTCAACGTCGGAATCCCTATGATAGCATTCGGGGCACTTCCAATTCTCGGGGGCTGCGCTCGTTAGTGGAGAGATCAGAGGATGGACGTTGCAGATACTCACTGTTATCCTCACTCATTGCCGCAGCGTCGCGGGCGCATTGCTGATGTGCTGTGATTCATTAACACGAGAGCTCTTGGTCACAGCACGGGAGCCTTACCATTTACACCACAACCTGCGCATGCCAAGTATACTTCAAACTCCTCGCTTGGATCTTCATCTTCGCCCTGCTTGCAGAACGTGCAGTTGTTAGATGGTCCTGCTTCCTCGTCCTCGTCCTCATCCTCGTCAGCTTCCCCAGCATCTTCCCATGGGGCATCCTCGTCGGACTCTTCATCGATCACACTCGGTGACTCTGATCTTTCACTGTCGCTCGCTTCTTCATCATGCTCTTGACCCGGCTGGATCTTGACGTCGCCCACTCCCTCGTCTTCATCGTATTCTTCTCCCTCCGCGTCTACATCATCCTCCTCCTCCTCTCCCTCTTCCTCGTCATGGTGGCCTTCCGCTTGTGTTATTTCGTGGGTGTTGTTGGCAGAGATTTGTTGATCTAGGAGAAAGTCGTTGTCCTCTTCGCCTTCGGCATCGATGTCGAGTTCCTCGCCTGAAGCGTCGCGATCGCTCAACTCATCATCGTCCATGTGTTCAGAAGCGCCTCTAGCGCCCATATTGGCATCAGGTGCGTCGGACGTCATCGCATTCATCGTCGGGATATCACCCGCTGTCTCGTATTCGGCGTCTTCGTCGGAAACCATTACACTTTGTTGAAGCTCTTCCTCCATCACTTGCGCGCTTGTCATGGCTATCCCCGCAACCCAGAGAAGAATTCCCAGTGGCGAGAGCCTAGATATTGCATATCGATCGTTCTGGGAGCGCTGCGACTGTTCTCTCGCGATGCGATCACGTTCGGCTCATGGTATTTGGGGCTGAAGACGCGGCCTTGGATCGAGGGGTCCCGTGCGCGTGACAATAAGGGTAGGTCGCCCTCGGCTAATTGTAGAATTGCATCAAGCTAGTCGACTGTATTCGAGAAACGCGTCCGTATTAGAGTCCGCCGTAGAAGGGATGCGATTAAGGCGAAGCGCTGGAGTAAAGCGCGTTCAACTTGCGAGATATCAACCAGCTGTCGCGGAGCTTGTTGCCACAGTGCGTGCGACTCCGGCCTCGGGTAATGCACCGGGGATTTTGGTAGTGTACAGTGCTAGATCTGGAGTCGCTAACTGTCTTGACGTGCAGGGATGAATGTTGGGCCATGGCAGTGGTGAGTAAAAATAATTGGGAGCCGGCTTGTGAATGTCGAGAGGCTCTTGATGCTCAGGACCTCATCTTCAATGCTTGACGTCTTGCAAACTTCAAATAAAGCTCACTTTTGTAATTCTTAAGGGCATGGTTATCGCTTAAAAGGCACTAGTTAACCGTATTAACTCATTTCCCATCAGAATTGCCATCAACTGACGGTGCTGAGTTCTTTTTGTCCACTCGCCTGCACGGCCGAAGCCGATCCGTGCCTCAGGCACCAACCTAATAACCAATCGCTCAATCGTCAATGGCTCGGTTGACGACGTGAGCTTCAAGTCAAGGCCCGGCCGCTCGGAAGACCTACGACCACCGCGACTGACCCGGACGACAGGCCAGACCTAGTCAATTCGATTCCTCCTTCGAAGAGAAACCCAACGGATACTTTCAAGTCTGCCCAGGCAGCACCGACGCGACCATGCCCGTCCCCTTCGAGACCCTTCTTCCCTACGCCATCATGATTGGCGTACGTCCACTTCGGCCCTGCGACACGAGAATATGGAAGCTCATTGAGTGATAGATGTTCGGTATCTCTGGTACCGGTCTTGCCGTCATCAAGACTTGGCAGAACGAGGGCAAGCGACCCCGTTACTCCGTGGACCAGTGGGACAAGGTAGGTTGTCTGTTGCCGAAAGTGTTGGGTTGATGCTAATTGTCTCTGCAGCAAAGTATGATACACCTCGAACGAACTTGCGATTGACCATCTGGATACTGACCAAGCGCTATTAGTGATGGAGCGTGACCGCCGACTTACAGGAACCTTGCGAGGACAGACGGACAAAGCAGTGGCACCCATAGGGTTCGAGTTGAACAACCCTTGGAAGGTGAGTGCCATTGAATCACAGCATTCTGTTAATAGATACTAACTAGAGACAATAGTTGGAAAAACGCTACGCTTAGAGAACGGCACGACAGCCGATGCGAATCGTCAAAGTGCCGCAAGCCAGCAAATGTACATATACAACATGAAAGAGCAGAGGGGCATCAGGCCAGGGGAAAGAGATGAATGGATAGGAGAAAGAAATGAAAGAGAACATCAAACAATCATTAGACTTTGTCCCCTACGGTGCACTGTGAACAAATGCTTGAGTTTGCTGTCCGCAGCAGGGGTATCTTATTATATGGCTATCTCTGCTCTGTTCTTATTCAGGTTCTCAAGCAGTGTGCAAGCCTGGCACATTGTCTGACTTGACATGTATCCGCACTTGACACACTTGCCCAGAGTCTGCAATGGTGTAGCCTCCTTCTGCCGTCTAGTCCTTACTGGCAAGGCCACTGCCTCCTCCTTGGGAGTTCCGTTGGCTGTGATCTCTGTCTCCAGGGCCGTGTGGTTGGCCTTCTTCTTCTTCAAGCTGGCTTCAACCTCGGCCATCTCGTTGCCAGAGGTGCGTCCGTTGGCTGATCCGCAGCCTCCAATTCCTTCGCCTTCGTCGCAGGCACATGCCCCCCGGTTCTTCTCTGGTGTGAGCCGGGCCATGTCTTCCCCACTTCTGACAATGTCCAAGATTGCACTTGGCCGAACCTTTTCAAGATTCTTGATGAGGCCTCGAGCCGTCCCACGGAAGGCCTCTGGACTGTATATGCACTCAGTGCTAAAGTAATCCAGCTTCTTGTGGTGGGCGTAGAGCACAATCTCCTTTTCGTATGCGTACTTGAGAGGCTTGCTCCTCTTCACGTCGCTGTTGGAATCGCCAGTGACGATACTGGTGCTTCGAGCTAAACGCGGTAAATCTCCTCGAAGAAGGTTCATGAGAACAGTCTCGGCGATGTCGTCTGCGTTGTGACCTGTCACGACGTGCTTGATGGCCAGCTTCTTTGCCCCTCGATCCAGGGCTTGTCGTCGAAATACACCACAGTAGGTGCAGTTCCCCTTCTTCCCGATGGTCTCGACAACCTGGTCCATAGTCCATCCGTAAAGCTCGCCGTAGCCCACAATCTCCAAGGGCATGTCGTATTGAACGGCATTCCGCTTAACTGTTTCGAGTGAATCGTCTCGGTATCCCTTGATACCTTCGTCAACACTCAAAAGTACCAGGTCCAGTCCGTAATCGTGCCGTTCGTTCAAAGTTTTCATCACAGAGGCCAAGACTGTCGAATCCTTTCCACCCGAGGCCCCGATGGCAACCCTCTCTCCTCTGAAGAACAGTTGAGAGGAGGTGATTGTGTGGTGTACTTCATCCTCAAAGACTCTGAGGAAGCACTCTCGGCATAGCTTGTGGTGGTTCTTGGGCCGCTTTACGACGGCCCTGTTATTCTGACACCGGTTGCAAGGCGTAGGCGGCATTTTATCTTCTTGGTTAACGTGATTTTGCTAAAAGTGTCTGAGAAGACTGGAGATCTGAGATTTGCCCCTCTGACGCAAGATCTGGGGATTTCAAGACCGGATATCGGAAGGCGAGTGAATATTTTCCTCTCAAAGTTCGTTGGGGTTATAGCGATGCTCAATTTTATTGTCGATGATGTATTTACGAATCTAGGCTCCCATTTCTCACTTTCTCTGGTATATGGCCTTTGACTCGCGGCGATGACTCGGGCTGCATTGTAAAAGCTTTAGTCACGTGCACCGATCACAAAAATGGATTCGGCTCCAGCCCCTCCAAGTGGAGCAAGAAGTGGGCCCTGATTTTTCACGGCAGGAAGCCCTAATTAATTCAACACCAAAATCTTTTCGTGCCTTTTCTTCCTTTGAAAACCATCCCTCATCGCCATCCCGGACTTTGCTCTTCAACCCACGAGCAACTAACCCACAGATCCAAGATGGTGAGTACATGAAACAACACACCTGGACTCTAATGGCCACAGTTTTGTGAGTCAAATGTGCTTCGCGCACAATTGAAGCCGCAGTCGTCGCTCCTCGCGATTTTGACTGTCGGTATTCCGCCTGCTCTTCTACCTTGACCGGTGTCGAGCAGGTGAAGACTTGGCTGGAGATGCAGGCGTGCGCAGAGATGCCACGATCTGCTCTCGTTAGAGTTCAGAGAAGACCTTTTTTGGCTTGAACGCCTTGCTGATCTTCTTTTCTCAATGACAGCCTCCCAAGTCCGGCAAGAAGGTCGCTCCCGCCCCTTTCCCTCAGGGTAAGGCTGGTCGCAAGGCCCCCAAGGTTAGTAAATTTGTCTTCTGTTCAGGATCGTCGGTCGCTGACAATCATTAGAACCCTCTCCTCGAGAAGCGACCCCGCAGCTACGGTGTCGGCCAGGACATCCAGCCCAAGCGAAATGTCTCCCGCATGGTCAAGTGGCCCGAGTATGTCCGCCTCCAGCGACAGAAGAAGATCCTTCAGATGCGCCTGAAGGTTCCCCCTGCTCTCGCCCAGTTCCAGCACGTCCTCGACCGCAACACCGCCGCCCAGGCTTTCAAGCTCCTCAACAAGTACCGACCTGAGACCAAGGCCGAGAAGAAGGAGCGTCTCCTCCAGGAGGCTACCGCCGTCAAGGAGGGCAAGAAGAAGGAGGATGTCTCCAAGAAGCCCTACACCGTCAAGTACGGTCTCAACCACGTCGTTGGCCTGATTGAGAACAAGAAGGCTTCTCTCGTCCTCATCCCCAACGACGTTGAGCCCATTGAGCTCGTCGTCTTCCTTCCCTCTCTGTGCAAGAAGATGGGTATCCCTTACGCCATTGTCAAGGGTAAGGCCCGTCTCGGCACTGTTGTCCACAAGAAGGTATGTCAAGACATCGACAGGTATCGATCGAACTTTTTCTAACATGCTTCAGACCGCTGCTGTCCTCGCCATCACCGAGGTCCGCTCCGAGGACAAGAACGAGCTCTCCAAGCTCGTCTCCGCTGTCAAGGATGGTTACCTTGAGAAGCACGACCAGGCCCGCCGACAGTGGGGTGGTGGTATCATGGGCGCCAAGGCCCAGAAGCGGATTGAGAAGAAGCAGAAGGCTCTCGAGGCTGCTACCAAGATCTAAGGCTTTTTCTTAATACCCCTCACAATGCATTGCGATTCTGGGATCAAACGGTGTTGCACGGTTCAGGGCATGGAAAATGAATGAATTTTTCTCGGGTTACGTTTTGTCCCATCCCACTCGCAGTGACCTGTGGGGCCGGTTCTGGACCTCAAAAAATAGATGATGAGCTTGCTCTTGGATAAGACTTGCATGTCAAAGTGAAGTTTCATTGGCCCACGACTCATTGCCATCCATCGAATCGTAGCGAGAGCAATTGCCAGGGCATGACCCATTGCCCAGGCCCTGGCCAGATTCTAATCATTAGGCACATAGGCTTGTTGGGCATAAGCAGCCATGATCACAGTGGAAACTCAACACCCACTCGTAATGTGACACACATCATGTCCTGATGATATTTGATAGCCATGATAGTTAGATGTGATTGGTATCAAGCCAATTGGGCTTTGGTTCGCTTCTTGAGCAAGGCAAATGACTAGAAAATGTGTTTCTTCTCTGACCGCCTTTGTTTGTACTGACTGAGTTGCGGTCAGATCTCAGCGCCAGCTTTGATTCCCAAGTAGCTCATAACCAAACAATGTCTCCGTTAGCTTTCTTCTGACAGCTAGAGGGAGAGAAGAGAACATTACTAGACGGTCCCAAGATTATGCTACAGCAGTCTCTAAGCACACGTGCGTCAATGTATTACCCCTGCTGATGCCATGCCTCCAAGCGAGCTGTTGACGAGAGCCAATCAAACATTTAATGCCAGCAAGAAACCGCATTGTCTCCTCTCTTCACGCAATATGCAAGTCATTTTTTTTGTTGTTACTGCTTGTTGACAAGGTCTAAAGCTGAGCTCGGTACATCTTGCACCGTCTCGAATTGAACAAAAGACGTGTTGGAAGACCAATTTCTCAGTCAAAGACCCCAGCATGCATTCCCCCGCCCCTTGTTTCTTTCCCACATCCCCGTGCTCTAAAATTCATTCAGATCGTCAAAAGGAAAAAGCCCGTCTTTGAATCGCCATCGCTGCTTTAATTTGCTCCTCTTGTCGTCGCCCCACTTGGTGTGTCTTTGTTTAAACTCGCTTTCTCCTCCCCCTCAACAAAAAAGGCGCCGGAGTTTGTCGTTCGTTTTGACTAGCTTAACCGAAGACGAGCTTGAAGATGTCGTTGTAGACAAAGTAATTGCCACCAGCATCGCGGGCCAGCTGGAAGGACTGGCTGAAGTTCATGGGGCGCTGCTCCTCGTCGACCTATAAAGGGTTGTTAGTCCACAAGAGGTGCTCCGAAGCGCGGTCAGACAATTGTGTATATCATACCAGGAGGGCACCGGTGATGAGGATGATGATGCCACCCTCACCGTTGGAGGGCTGGGCATCGAGGGTGTTGACCTGGTGCTTGACCTTCTCGAAGGGGAGAGACTGGTTTGTACGTAGTCAGCAAGGGCCGTGCTAAATTTCGACCGGGGCAGTGTTGCATACGGTCAACTTCTCGATAATGGGCTCGGCACCGAGGACGGAAGCAGACTCGAAAGTCAGCATAGACTCGGGGCGCTATTCAACTTGTCAGTAAGCTATGAAGCAAGGCGGCCACAATATGGCATCACGTACGTAGAGGGCAGCAAGAGCCTTGCGGTCGGAATCGAACGTGTTATAGTAGAACTCGATGAACTGCTCTGTCGGAATGTATTAGCGACTCGCAAAGGCACGTACTTGCTCGCTCGCGGCTGAGCTCGCAGGGTGTCTGGACATACTGGCGACTTCCTCAAAGTCTGGCAAGTTGTGCGCGGTTAGTTTCTTTCCCATGACACTCTCAGCAAGGCATTCCGAGAACTCACTGTTGGCCATTTTGAAATCTGGAGACCTTTCTGGTCTGGGTATATCGCTATGTGTGTTTGGAAAGGGAAGATGACGAGGGAGAAGATGGTTGGGTTTGTCGCAAAGTCTGCCTGAGGGGGAGGACGACGCAGCAAACGGAGATGAGATCGATGGTGGATGGTGGGGTTGAGGGGAGGGGGCACAGTGCAGATTGGGCACACACGTCAACCTACCCGTTGGTGCTGCTGCCATGGAAACGTGCCCGATTCTGCGGCGTCGGGGCTGGGTCGGCACAGTGCGGCCCCGTTACAGGCATAAATGGCGGGATGGAGCTTGGTTAGGCGGATATTACCCCTGCTCGGCTGTGGAATAAATTGAGGCGCGCGCTGCAAGAAAATTCTTGTTCTGTCTACAACAAACCACAGACTGCCAACAATCACAGTCAGCGATTTGCTGTCTCGACAAGGGAAGCCTCAAGTGAGGATGGCTCTGATTTGCTACAGTGCATGGTCTGACTCTAGTTCATGGACTTGAACGCAATGTCTACGAATAACTTGCAAGGTACGTTTCACAGCCACGACACGGCAGCTCTCCCGCCTTGTCCTACACACCAAACCCTCTTCATGATGACAAACTCTTCCATTAAGAACGGCCAACTGAATCACCATGTTGATTTCAAAATTATCAAGCTCAACAGTCTGACATGTTTCCCATCTTTACACTCTTCACATTTTCACCTGGTGCTAGAAGCAGTCTTGCTAACATTGGCGCCTCAAAGTCTAGGTACTATGATTCTTCCACTCTGTTGAAGACGACCTTGCCCTCATGCTGGTTCCCAATCAGGGAGTAAAAGTCCACCTCGAGCGCCGTGGCCTTACCGTCGTGTCCGATCTTGAACTCGACCTGCTCGCACTCGCGGAACAGGTTCGGGCTGCCCATCTCGGTGGCATACATGATCCACCAGGCGCCCGAGACGTGGTGCAGCTTCATATGGATCCGCCACGTCGCGTCGTCGCGCTCGGCCACAAGGATCTCCTCGTCCTGCTTGTCGGGATGTGGCTCCGCCCGTAGCTCAATCGTCTTGTACCCGGGGTCGTAGTATTTCCCTGCGAGGTCTTTGACGCTCACCGGCGATGAGATAGGAGGGCTAGGCCTCTTGGGAAATAGATTATCCATAGACTTGTCGTAGCTTTGAATGAAATGATCAATCAATGAACGCCACCTGTACCTGGTCAGTGTCTGTTATCAAATGTCAAGGCATACATACCCTTTAGCTGCGTCCGTTCGCTTCTCAGGCGCGATGCCCAGCTTCTCATCAAGGAGCTTGTACAGCACCGTGTCAATGACAGCGTTGGAAGTTATCGACGTGTTCCCAAACGCCACGAGCCCAAGCTTGTCGTCGGGCAACCAGATGACTGTGCTCCCAGCAGCCATCATGCCTCCGCCGTGGCTGTACAAGAGGTGGCCATGATACAGCACCCGATCCCAGCCCAGCGCATACGTGGTCACATCCTTTCCGTCTTGAGGCATGCTCTGGATGATTCGCGGCGTGCGGATATCCTTGTGGACAGCGGCGGAAAAGGGAGTCGTGCCTCGCAGCATACACCTTGCCCACTTGGTATAGTCCTCTGTGTTGGAGATGATGGCTCCCGCACCGCCATGCTCAATCACGGAAACGTCCTCCACGAGAACATACTTTTCAGCCTTTTCATCCCAGTAGTATCCCGCTGAGAGGTGTTTCGGGCTCGCTCTTGCATCATCTAGGGATAGATATGTCGAGTTCATGCCTAAGGGTTCAAATATGAGCTCGCGCATCACCTCGCCGAGGGGTTTCCCCGTGACCGTCTCGACGACGTGCGACAGGACCCCGTACATCAAGTTACAGTACTGAAACTTGACGCGCGGCTCCTCAGACAGACGCAGGTTCCTCAAGTTGCGCGTGACGTCCTTCACAGTAGCATGTCTCTTGCCCCCATCTCCATCATCCAAGAGTCTCATCGCCGACTGGTCATGCCTCGGCATCCCCGTGCGATGAGAAACCGCGTCTTCGAGGGTAAGGTGGTTCGTAGCCCACTCATCCTGTAGGACAAAGTCCTCTCTGAGAATAGAGCTGATGGTCGTCTGCCATCCCTTCTCCAGGACGGGATACTTTTTTGAGTGGATGAGCTGCGCAATGACGGCTCCTGTGAATGCCTTTGTCGTAGACCCAGCGTACCAGAGTGTTTCAGGTGTGGCTGGTGTATCTGGGAGTGTTGCAGTGCCGTAGCCCTTTTGCGAGTTGAATGTTAATGTTAGTGGCACAGGCTTCACTTCTATTCTAGGAGTAGACACGCACCGCTGTGAACACTTGATCTTTGTCAATGACTCCAACCGAGATGCCAGGAACCTTCCACTCATCCAGCTTCTCCTTGACAAATTTGGCAAGCTCTTCAGTCAAGGGATTCTCAGCTGTGGCCATCGTTTCTTGTTCTTGTGCCATGTCGTCGTCGGTATAACTTCATTCAAGAAGACTCAATTGATGAACGCATGTCGTCAAGCCCATTTAAAAGCCCTCAGATATCTCTGGCTTATATATCCATCCCCGCAGAGCTCTCCAATCTGGAGGATCGAATCTACACTCCTCATTGTCGTCGTATCCCATGGATGCGGGGTCATATTGTCCCGAGGTGCGTTGGATAAAAGCTGCATACTCCTATGTGTACGCGTACGGCGTAGAGTCAGCGGCTTGCCCTTTCAGGCAAGGCCTCCAGGGATGTAAGCCTCCTGTACAGGCCAAATTGACCGCCTGAATGAGACATGTTTGCTAACAAAGGGGATGGTTCGTCACAGAAAACAGATCCAGAAAGGCGGTAGCAGTGCCAAGGCCATCACACGTACCATGCATGCGGATGGGGAGATGGTTATGCAGGTTGTCACCCTGTTTGAGGAAAAAAGACAGACCAGTACCTATGATAATCCTCCCTTATAGATAGTCGATAAAGTGTTGTAAGAAATGGATAAGAGAGCTCTGAAGTATCCCTTTTATTATAGCCTTGACTATTTTACTATACTTTCTACAAACTTGACCTTCATGCCCAAGAGGAGTTTGCAGCCCTCTTGATGTTCAGGACTTCAGGTGTCGATACAGCACGCAGTGCATGCTCAAGCAAGACTCGTTACGTCAACACCATCGTCATCCATGTCAAGTCGGTTAACGTCCCTCACACTCAATTAGGAAAATCGTGGCGCCAAGGTAAAGGTAGGTTAGTACCTGATTCATATCCTGTCTGAACAAGCAGCATACTATCTACATGTCTCTGTTACACAAAAACCATGGTACCTGGCGGGCTCGAGAGCTCGGCCTGTTCGATCCTCCAGCCTCTAGTTCCCAATGCCACAGACATCAAGAGCCTTTGGTTCCCTGCAAAGATGCACAATCAAAGCCTCGATACAAAACAAGCCTTGTCCCCCCTCAACACTGGAGTAACAAGCCACGCCAGTCCGACCAGTCCTGTCTTTGTGGACGAGTGCCACAATATTCCCGTCCGAGAGGGCCTCCCTTTGTCCACAGTTTTTGCTCGATGCCATAGCCCGCCAGTCGTCTGTATCTATCATATACCATTCACATCGACACCCAACGCCAGCCTTCCCTCCTGTGCTTGGCCCGCCCCCTGGTCATAGTTCCTGATTTATTTTGGTGTTAGGCCATCTGCCGAAAGGGACGCTGTATAAGTAAAAATCAGTCTAAAAGACGAAAGACTCGCTCCTTCACAGCTCTTCCTCCTCTTCGGCCTTTGGTTTATGCACCTCAGCCGTCGACGGTGTTCCCGATCCAGAACCGCCACCGACAACCGAGTCCAACGCAGCACTCAGGTTTTGCGTAGCCGTCAGATTTGTACCATCGGCCGTGTAGTCCACACTGGGTCGATACTTCTTGAGTGGGCTCTGAAGAATTGACTCGCTGGGCGTGTCGAAGCCGGCCGCGTTGGCTAAGTAGTTGTTGAGAGGAGATGCCCCTGTCGTGGATGTTTGGGAGGCAGATGCCCCTGCGGGATTGGGGGTTTGTGAAGACTCGGGAGTCGCCTTGCCGTCTGGGTCCGCTGAATGTGCCCTCTTAAGCTGTTGCTGTTGTTAGTCTCGGCTCTGGCAGAACACGCCAGCAAGAGAACTTACGTGAATACGATCCACGCCCTCGGCAAGCTCGCCCTGGAACTTGACATCTTCTGGCGCAAGTTTGGTATGGATGTCCTTATCATCCACTTCTTCCATCTTGGCCAAGACTTCGTCAGAATCGTCGTCGTCGTCGTCATCACTGTCGTCGGCAATGTTTCCATTGCTCTTCTTCCTCGCCTTGCGCCGTCTCGATGCCTCGGTGGCCTGGTCGCGGAAAGCCGAGAAACCAACGGTACCTCCGGCCTTCAGAGGACCCAAGTTGGAAAAGTCGAGTTGGCCAGACCGTCGCTTGGCTGAGCCAGGTGTCGTCTGAGGATTCTTCGAAGACTGCAGAACACCGATCTTTTGCAATTGCCCTATACAGTGTCAGCTGTCTACGAAGTCAAAAATGAGTGTCTGTGATACTTACGTTCGCCCCGGTAGAAAAAGGTGAAAGTGGCATATGGCTTATCTGGCCCATCGATACCTGTAACCGTCTGCGTACTGATCGTCTTAGGGTCAAGAGTCTTTGGCTTGGCAAAACTCGTGGTGTGCTCGACATCGGCATCGATTCCGTTGCCCTTGTTGCCCATGTCATCTTCGTCGCCATCATGGGCGTCGAATTGAGGCGAGTATTCGCCCTTCTTGATTTCACCAGAGGCAAGGACACGGAACATGGCGACCTTGATCTGTCCAGTCGCCTCAGGCGGCTCGTCGTCATCGTCGGACCAGGAATCAGAATCGTCGATGACAGGCTCGATCGGCGACTTGTCGTCAGCTCCGTAGCGTAGTGTGTCCCTCCGAGGGGTAGAGCTGTCACTAGTGTTGCCCTCAAGAGCCCGTTGTCGTCGCCGACGCTTCTCAAACTTCTGACGACGCTTTTCTAGCTTTTCGGCAGCATCATGTCCCTGCAGGTCGAGACCGTTGAGCCAGCGCTCAAGGCCGACCTCGCGGAACAAGAACTCGCGCTCAGCTAGGCCGCCCCCTTCCGAATCGGGAACCTGTACCCAACGGCTATTTACCCAGGTCTCCTCGCCCGGTCGTAGCAGAGTAGCAACCTCCTCCTTGGCTCGGCCGTCAAAGTAAATGTAGGCAGCGATGGTCTCGTTGTCCGAGTTGGTCATGGGATAATAGGGGTTCACGACGCCCGAGTACTTGCCGCGTTCGCCATGGGACTCGTGGTTCATACCCCCAACAAACTGAGGCTTTGGGTACGGGTTGGCCTCGCTCGGCTTCGGGGTCGAGTAGGGAATAGGCAGACCCGGGGTGAGGAGGGTGATTGAGATTGCGAACTTTGCAGGCTCGGGCTTGTTGGACTCGGCCAGCTGAGGCTGGGGCACGGGAATGTAGGTGCTGATCCGCGAAAGACGAGACTGCTTCTGCATGCCGTGCTCTGGCAGCGGGGCTCCATTCGCATGGATGCTGACCGCAATGCCCTTGAAGCAGGGCATCGTGGCGGGAGCGGGTTAGGGGAGCAAAGGTCGGGATGAGGAGAGGCGGAGAGCGAGGTCGAGGAGGACGACGGAGGCGGGAGCGGAAACGGAAGCGAGAGACGACACGACACGGGACGGGTGAGGCCGAACAGGAGCGAGCTGCTGTAAGCTCAGCGCAAGCAAGCGAGGAGCAAGCAGCAAAGGCGGTCGGTCGCTCGCCGATGGTAGCCAAGCAAGACAGTTGGTGTGCTCAGCTCAAGCCTTGTCGAGATGGTTTGGTTTGGTCTGGAGGTGACTCGAGGAGGCGTCGAGAGGAACGAGCGGGCGGCGGTGGAGGTGGCCGCAGTAGTTTGAAAGTTAGCCCGCAATAGTGAATAGCAAGTACTAGCAATGGATGGATGGGTAGGTTGCTGGCGGTCGGCGGTGGTGGAGGATTGTGGGGGCGACTGATCAATGGTCGAGAGCCATGTCTCTTTGGACGACGACAGTTTGGAATCGACGAGCAGCCAAAAAGAGGAGAGTGACAAGAGGAACCTAGTTTCACAGAGCAAAGGATAGCGCAGCCCAGCCAGTCGGCGGTGATGAACCGAGAATGGAGGAACGAGATGACTTTTGTTCGCGGCGGTGCGTTGCGGTGCGATTGAAGTGGAGAGGGAGGTTCACGATTGCTCCAAGATGAGCCCAGGCAGGACCGGGGGGTGTTGGCGGCTGGGCTGGGCCACCAGGTACTGTACAGCAGGTACAGCGCAGAACTGTGTAATGGAGGGTCACGACAGGGCGCCCGCCACTTCAGAGGGGTCATCTCCTCCCTCTCCCTCCCTCTCATGAAAGAAAGCCTGCTGCGAGATTAGTGGAGGCTGGCTACCGTGAAACGTGCCCAGTCCAGGTAGGATATCCCCGATGGCTTGAAAGTACCTTTCAGTGACAGCCGAGGTACCGTCTTAACTGACAAGGCGGTGTAGTTTCAGCTAAAACCAGGTGTTCGAGACTTTGGGTCAATGATGGGGGTACCTCGACCGCCTTTCAGCCTCAAGAGCCCTGAGTCCGGGCACCTCAATCAGAACCATATCAATTCCCAATTCGGAAAGTCAACGTAAACAATCACAAATAATCATAATTGGACATTTCTCAATAGTTGGCCCGAGAATCACCTACAAGAGCCATTTCAGCCATTTATGGTTTATCCATGATTCCCCTCCCAGCTGTCAACTCAATAACCACAGTCCTTTACCAAATTGTCACGTCGTCATAGAAACGCACCCACTCAAAAGTAAACTTTACACATGCCATGATCGTATGCTGCAACATGTTTCGTCTTCTAGAAACGCCATTAGAATAGAATTATCCCCCTGAACCCAAGGTATCCGGTTGTGTCACTAGTAAATACATCAACATCCCCTCCAGAGCTAGCTCCTCTCTCCCTACTCCATCCTACTCCGCGATGCTCGTCGACGGATACTCGAGCTGCCCTCCTCACTATAGCTTGTGCCAATTCCCGAGTCCTTGTGCTGCACATCTTCTTCTTCCTCTTCCTCCTCTTCAAAGCTCCCCTCATCCTCATCATCGGCATCAGCTCCCGCGCGAGGAATCTCCGATAATGGCTGCTCAGGGTCCAGCTCGTGCTTGACATCTGGCTCATACTTGAGAGGCCGTTGCTTCCCATACGTTGGAAACGTCTCTGGATGGTCCGTCTCTTCTTCGTCTTCTTCGACTCCCTGTGGCCATGCCTTGCCATCACCGTCTTCAGGGGATGGTCCAGCGGCAAGGGTCCATATCCCCCAGGCCACGGCCATAAAGATGATCTCGCAGATCCAGAAAAGAAAGGTAAAGGCAATGAAAGTGGAGATTCGATAGTGTACCATCAGCCAGCGGAGTCCGCGAAGCTGGGCTGTAAGCTGCAGTGCAGCATGGTATATCTGTATTGTCTGCCCCGCCTCTACCTCGATATAAGCCGACTTTGGGACCATGGACCCCTTAGAGAACCACACCCTTTCTGCTAGAGGTATCATCATTGTGCTCGAACTTGACCCAGGCGCAAATAGATGGTAGGCCAAGAAGAGGACGCGAGACGCGAGAGAGACGAACGGATCCACGTAAGGGAACAGGGCGGGCCTGCGTGAGCTGAAGAGGATATTGGTCGTCCCAAAACCACCATGCTCGGCTGCGTGCTGTCCAGCCTTGGCCTGAAGCTCAAAATCGGGTTTCGAGTCGAGCATGTGCAGGCTTATCATGAAGTTGCCGCGCTCCACATTCGGGTTCGATCGCGGCATTGTCAAGCTCAGCGATACATCATATTCTTGCTGAGACTTCATGGGCGGCAATTCGAGTGATGCGATACCATATGGGTTAACGCCGGAGCTGCGGCCAGCAATGTCAGCGAAGCACAACTTGAAATTGATTGCTATGCGCTGGGCTACATACCCATACTGGAGGTGGACAGGCATCGTCACCACCTCATGAGGAAGAAAATTCTGGAAAAAGAGAGCCGAAGCAATGGCCGCTGTACAAAAGAGGATCACAGCGCCAGACACCAGGAGCACGCTATTGACGAATGCACGCTGGACTGGCTTCGACGTGACGATGCGGGCAGTCTCTTGAAGGGTATCCTGCGCAGGTAAAGTGTCAGTCGCTTGCAGCCGTCTGTCCAATTCTGGAGCGACAACTCACCATGCTAGGCCAAATATGTCCGACGGCGCGGACTGCATGGATGTTGCGAGAGAAGGGTTGGTGGTTGGAGTAGTATTATTCAAGGGAGAAGCAAAGCAATGGAGCTGAGGCCGTGTGTGGCATGTGAACGTTGGCAGCTGGAGCTCAACAGCTCCCACGTCATACCAGGGTACGTACTACGCCTGCAACAAGGGCACTACGGTTTCAGTACATCAGCAACAATAACAACAACACCAAGGCACAGCAAGTAAGAGTAAGAAAGTTGAATTGAGAATTAAGAAAGTATCCCTAGCTTAGCTAAGAGAAGGGCAGCTCATACAATTTTGCCTGCGTAACAAATACCAAACGTCAAGTCGTAACAAGGATGGACAACCGTACAACAAAACAAGCAAAGCAAAGCCCCGGCTCCATGCCAACCAACCATCAATAAGACAGTGTAAAGAAAGAAAGGTATAATCCAGTCGTCAACAATAAAGAACCATCAATCCCTAATGGCCCAGTGTCCAAAGCCACACAAAGAAGTCGCTAAATCGCTCATATCGGTTTAATCAATCAGCATGCCGAGAGGTAGTTGCTTGGGACCAGCCCGACACGTCCATCTCCGCCGTGAACTTCGGCCTCCCACCATCCATCATCTTGGTGACGGAGGACGGCCAAGTAATCACCCTTGGCAAAGCCCAATTCCTCAGGGATGGCTGCTTGATACATGTACAATGCACGTGCTACAAACATGTCATGTTAGCATACATTCATTCATCAAACTTGTCATATTTGCAAACTTACCATAGTGCAAGATGGGTCTGCCGTCAGTGGTGTAGAGTCGTGAAGGGTCAGCCACGCTCTGGCTGCGTTGACGAGGGCTGCCCTCGCCGTAGTGGCTCATGGCCCTGGAAGCAGGGCGACTGCCCCGGCTTGCTTGAGATCCATAGGGGTCGTCAGTTGGCGCCAGCTGGACCGCCATCTCGCTGCCTGCATAGCTACTCTGAGGTCGGTTGTACTGGCCATATGGCGACGGAGAAGGCCCTCGGCTCGTGGACTCCTGATAGTATTCTTGGGTAGATCCGCGCTTTCGGGGAGAGCTCATCACAGATGGAGAGCGTTGGCTAGGGGCATAGGGGTTTGGCGATGCCGACCTATAGCTCATGTTGGAAGAATCGTTCATGGGTGGCTGAGGAGAAGCGCTGCGTGTTGGTGCTGGTGAGGTAGCTCTGGGGATATCAGTGCCTCGGGTGCCGGGTCGAGAAACTGGGGATGAGCCATAGACTCCAGATCCTCGCGACATATCACTTCCTCTTGTTCCAGGTCGTGATAGCGGCGGTGGGGGCTCGAAACCACGAGTATCCATACGAGACATCTCAGTTGCCCGAGTGCCTGATCGTGTCACAGGTGGCGTGTGGTAACCAGCTGTCTCTCCTCGGCTCATATCCGTACCCCGAGTGCCTGGGCGAGACATGGATGCTGAGTTATAGCTGCCAGGTTCAGCTCGGCCCGTCTCTGTCGATCGAGTAGGAGGTCGCGACACGGACGCTGAGCTATAGCTTCCGGTATCAGTTCGCCCCATCTGGGTTGGTGGGCGGGAAACGGACGCAGAGTTATAGCCTCCAGGTCCAGCCCGGCCCATCTCCGTAGATCGAGTAGGCGTCCGTGACATAGAGGCCGAGTTATAGCTTCCCGGTTCGGCTCTACCTGTCTCCGTGGAGCGAGTTGGTGTTCGTGACATGGATGCTGACCCATAGCTTCCAGTATCCGTAGCACGAGTTGCCGGTCGTGTCGCAGGAGAGCCGCTGTAGCTACCAGATTCACCTCTACCATGGTCTGTGGCCCGAGTCGACGGTCTGGCGGCAACAGGGGAAGTGCTGAAACTATTTCCCCTGCCGTGGGTGGGTGTTCGAGTCGCAGGCCTGGAGGTGACTGGAGGCGTGCTTTGCGCTGCAGGCTCAGCTCGCTTTGTTTCCGTAGCTCGAGTGTTAGATCGTGAAGCGGTGAAGCCACCGGATCCAGGGCGTGCATTTTCCGTAAACATGTTCCTGGTCTGGGCAGTGGCCTTCTTTGTAGCCTCCTTCATTGCCCTTGAAGTCACAGCGGGAGGAGGCACGCCTAGCCTGGAGATTTGCGTCGAAGCTTGGGTCTGGTACGACGGAGGAGGTGTTCCTCTCTTTGCTGCCGCCAAGTCCTTGTTTCCAGGGATTGGGATTGATCGCGAGGCTGCTTCCCGAGAGTTGGAAGTTTCAGACCCGGGTGCGGGTGTAGAGATACCATGGTAATGATCAGCAGAGATCCGAACCGAAGACTGCTTTCCAAGCGTAACGCCCTTGAGTTCTGCAAGAGCCAACGCGATGGGGTCCATCTCCTCGGGTTCCTTAGCAGCGGCTCCAGGCTGTTTCTTCGCATCTGGGTTGGAAACAGGGAAGACATTCTGCCCAACACCAAGAGCCAGGCTTGCATTGGCATCGATGGGCTCTGGGCTCTGAGTGCGCTGCTGTGTCGTGACACTTGCCGGTTCTTGGTTATACATGAGTGGTTTCCGTACTGGGCTGCCCGAGCCTTGCGCACTGGGCGCGTGCCATGTGTTTCTGTTTGATGTCTGCATATCCTTCTGGCTCTTGCGCCTGAAGGGACTGTGGTTCTTCAAAAAGCCGCCGCTCTTCTTTTTGGCGACGACCTTGACTGGACTAGGTGCTGATGCCATAGTCGGGGAAGGAGCTGAGGCAGGAGTAGGAGCTGGAGCAGCAACAGAAATTGGGGCTGGAGCTGGAGCTGGAGTCGGAACTGAGGCGGCAGCTGGTCTTCCGAGGTCTGGTTTGTTGACCATCGGGTTGGGCTTGATTGGGTCAGGCATGATAGGATCTTGCTTGAAGGACGAGGTCTTTCCACTGGGCGGCTCGATGCTAGAGAGCGAGGTAGGGTTCGAGTAATCACTGTGGGAGTCTCTGCTAGATGGTCGCGCAGATGTGACCTGGGAGCTGCGGTCCGAGATAGGACTTGGGCCAGTTCGGCAGAGCATCGTCATGCCGTCCAAAGGATAGGGATCGTGAGGGACTGAGGCTACCGGGCCATGTTGGTTGATGTCATATCCCATGTGAGGTGCCGCCTGTTGGCGACGGTAAGGGTCCTCCATTGGTTTCCTGACCTCCATCGAGGTCCTGGAATCCACGGGTTGCCTCATGTCATTGGTGGGTCGGATCTCTCCCAGGGGTCGAACTTCAGCTGAAGGTCGTGTCTCGAGTGCAGGTCGAACCTCTCCGGAATGTCGCATCTCAAGAGCTGGCCTGGTCTCAGGCTGCCTCATCTCCAAGGCTTGCCTGCCGCCGCTATGCCTCTCAGAGTGTCTCATGTCCTGGTGCCTCATATCTTGGTGCCTCATGTCCTGTTGTCGCATGTCCTGGTATCTTATGTCTTGATACCTCATATCAGTTGGCCTCATATCTGTCAACCTCATGTCCGCAGGCTGCGTGTTGAGAGGTCTCATATCATGGGGCCTCATCTGCTGAGGAACGTGGTGACCCGTGTGGTGAGCCACTTGCTGCGAGTGCTGGGGTAGCTGCTGATGCCGCTGTTGAGCAGGATGTTGGAACTGTTGTAGTTGTTGCGACTGCTGAAGCTGCTGAGGCTGGGAGGCCTGCTGAGGTTGGGCAGCCTGTTGGATAGGTGCCTGAATGGCCTCTTCAGGAAGTGCTGGAATCAACTTTTGAGGTACGGGGTTGGGCTCGCGTCTGCTCAAAGGACCGGCTTCTCTATGAGCAAGGTCCTTGGCCAACGCAGAGTTGGGATCGTGATGAGACTCAAAGGTTGAGGGCTGTGGGGAAGAGGACCTGAAGGCGGGATTGATGTTCCGGGGGAATTGGGCAACAGAGTATGCGTCGTCCTCTGAGGCCTCGGACTGGCTGTCGTTGATGTCGCCTCGGCAGAAGTTGATGTACTTGGGTGGATCGGGGATCTCTTGTCCTGTTCCCTTCTCGCTGATGAAGGTGACAATGTCCTTTTCCACGTCCATCGTCTCCAGAGATAGTCGAATCTTTTCGCACGATGAGTCGTCACTAACGCAAACCGTGGAAGCAATGTTGGCAAAGGTCCACAGGCTGCTCTTGGTAAAATCCAGACGCTCCTCTTCCAGGTCTTGGAACTTGTCGGCGGCCGCCTTCCACTCACGGTTCCATCTTGCTGTCGTATCCTCCAGGGCTTTGACAGCGTTCTCATATTCTGTGTTGGAGGTTGCGAGGCTGATTTGCGTCTTTTCTAGCTTCGCCTTGTTCCGACGCTCCTCTTGGCCCATGACCATGTGGCCTTGAGCCAAGTAGCCCTTGATCTTCAGGCATTCTTGCTCATACTTGTCTCGAGTCTATCATCATGTTAACACTTATGTGACTAGAGTTACCGGTGTTTGATTGACACACCTTGTTGACATGCTGTGTCTGTTGCGTCTTCGTCTTGAGTAGCTTCTCGACGGTGTTCTGAATAATTTTCCGACGCTCCTTCATGCCACCAGTGAAAGCGGCCAGCGGCTCCTCAAGTTCGCTCTTCATCTCGGCAGAGATATTCTGGTGTTGTTTGGCCATTTGCTCGACCTCGCCTCGGACAGTATCCAGTGATGTCTTGAGGGTGCCCGTCTCCTGGGATCCCAACGGCTTCCGGCACAAGTTCATCATCTTGCGGGCGTATTCTTCCTCGATCGATGCTCGCGCTGCAGAGGAATGCGTTAGAAATGAACCCATGAGGAGGAATTTGGAGACTTGACATACCACCGTAGAATGTTCTTAGTTCATCGCACGTCGTCTTGGCCGCTGCCATGCGGGCCAGTAGTGGTGTAACTCCAGCATCGTCCTTGCCCCAGAAGTTGTTTGCGACTGCAATTGCTCGAGTTAGTGATTTCTTGCCCATCGAGAGCAAGGTAAGCTTCCTTACAAGACAGCGCAACGGCTGGTGATTCTATCATTGACGCAGGCATCTTGCCTGGAATAAGTCAACGAACGGGCAAGCTAGTGTAGTGTGTAATAATTGATGTTGAAAAAGCAGAAGGACGGTAAAGGGACCAGCCTCAGTCGCACTACACTCCAAGCTTTAGATGGAGAAAGCGAAACATGAGCTATAGCGTTCCATGGAGCTGTGATAAGGAGGATGGGACCGCCAGATGGTTGGCCCTGGCATTGTTTAGAGTGGCGTGGACACGGTTGATGGGACAACCAAGGTGCACGGGCCATGCGTCGCTGGCACTGCAGACCCGGCCGAGTGACGACGGTCGTGTGTCGACCCCCAAGCACGTGATGCGGGCTGCCGTGGCGGGAAGGCTGACCCCGACTTTGTAGGACCGGGATTTATCCGGTGCATTGTCATTTTCAGGACCTTACCTTATCCTCCGACCTACCTTACAGAGCACCTAACCCCAACCACATCCATTCCATTCGTGCATGTATGGACAACTGTTGACGAACTATCAATACGCATATTCATCACGACTTGTTCGTCGACCGACGCCGAACCGCTCCAGGCTCCCCCCAGAGCTTCCTAATACGCTGCGTTCTCGGCGCTGTACCCCTCGCGACGACAATCACTGGACACGACACGCACCTCCACCCGCAAGTCGAGTCAGGCTCTCTAGTCCCCCTCCCGGCTGCCACTTCGGTTGCACGATCGCGCGCTCTCGAGCTCCCCTCTTGAGCCTCCCTCGTTTCGAGCCTCCCCCTCTCGATCCCGATCGCTGTCCCGCGTTGCCGCTCCCTCATGTAGGAATCCTCTATATCGACTCTTCCTCCCACAGACTCACTCGCTCGCTCGCTTCCTGAGCCTCACGGTCTGCCACCACTCCGAGGGCAGGCGCTCCCTTTTTTCATCCCCCAACGCTGCGAATACACCTCCATGGTCCCACCACCTCGAGCGGGATCATTTTCGCCCAATCCTGCGCAGACTCTTCAGACGGGTTCGAGCCATTCTCCCCACCCATCGCAGGCCGCCATCCTCAGTGCTGGCGCAAGCCCAAGCGCCAGCAGTCCGACGGGCACCAACTCCCTGACCAAGATTGTCGTGGCCCAGGTCTATCTTCTGCTTAGCACCATCAAGGAGGATAAGGACCGCGCCAAGTGGGAATTGCAGGTTGACCAATTGAAGAAGGTTGGGTTCTATCCCATCTCAGCCACCGCGTCTTGCTGACGGTGCAACCTCTTTGTAGCTCATCGATGAACACGGTATGGAAGTCTTCTCAAAGTACTTCACCCGGCTTGTCGCCGGCAATGCGCCGCAGATATTCCCAGGCCTCAACAGGCCTGTCTCGAATCCAGGCAACTATCACATCCTCGTCGGCGAGATGCGGAAGATTGCGCACGACCCAGAGCAAGCGAGCAAGATCGCCGAGTCAATTGAGAGCGGCACTGAAGACATCTTCCGCGACTTTGACCTCTCGACCTTTATGGAGCATTTCAAGCTCGATGCCCTGGAAAAGACCCTGTTAGCTCTGGCCTTCAAGCTTGGCTCCCGGACCGACTTGAAGACCAAAGGTGAGCATCCTGTCCAACACTATCCTGCAACCACAGACTCAACCTCTTTGTAGCCGACGCTATACTCTCGACAAACTTCCCAACCTTTGTCGATATCATCTCTCGACCCGAACTCGAAGCCCATGCTGACCTTACCCCCTCCTTCATCGCCTTAATCATCGACCGATTCCTTCAGTATCACCCTCCCAGCTTTAATCCTTCTTCTCGTCGAGATCTCGAGAGCTACCTCGCAAAGCGATATATTAGCGTGGATCAGCCGCCGCCTTCCGAGGTTCTAGCTGCTCTTGACCTGAGCAGAGTGCTCGCCGATCGACCATCCAATGGCTTGGTTCGGTACCTCCAAAAAACCGGCATCGAATTCACGCGAGACGAGGAAACTTGTGTCTCCTATCTACAGAACCGTGCCAGCAACCTACAGCTTAACCCCGAACAAGTCTCTGCCGCCCTGACGTTCACAACTATCACCCAAACCCCGCAACATGACCCCGAAGTCCTGGTGGCGGCTCTCAGGAGGGTATTGCCGAAATCCTTTGACTGGATGGAGGTGATTGGTTATTTCGATCAGCCGTCCGCTAGGGTCTCTTCTCAGCAGTTCCTGCGTCTCTACAACGCCTTTTTGCCAATAGCGCAAGACCCAAACTCCGATCTGGACATCCAGCGGCTTTGGGGTGGCGTGTGGAGGCATCCAGAGGCGCAGCTATCCTTTGTTAGTGCATACGCCTCTCTAACCCCCGAACAGCTTGACGCGACGACGATCCCTGGGCTTCGACGCAGTATTACTCTAGACGACTATGTAAACTCCCCTCCCAATGTTCGCGAGCGAGCTGCTGTGGCTGTCAAGCATCCGCTCGTTTCTGTTGCCGCTCTCTCCTCAATCTTCAACGTCGCACTCAGTTCCGTTGTGGCGTCCACGAGCGTCGAAGCGAAGAGGCTGTTTCAAGAAGTTGTTGTGCCGAATCTCGACATCTTTCTCGTTTCCGCTTTCGAGGTCCCTCGCCAGCATTGGGCAGCAATGGCCGTTGATACGCTGAACTCCTTGTTCGAGAACTTTCTCTACAAGCGCTCACCTGAGTACGACTTTGTTCTCGATAGCCTGTGGAAGAAGGACAAGGAGTGGGTAACGCAGCGCTTGATTGATGCGCACGCCATCAAGCCTGTTGATCTTCCCCTTGTTTTTGAGCATGCAGTCAAGCACAACTGGTTGGATTCGCTCGTGTACCTGGCCAACGGGTTCGGTATCGACTTGGCTGCGCTGGCTCACGCTGAGGGATATCTGGACCTGTCCAAGTGGGCACGGTTCTATGCAGACAGGGGCAACGAGATGTCTCGCACTCTCCTGCAATTCCTAATGATCAAGGCCAATCTAGAAAGCCAATACCAACGAGGCGGCCCTGATGGGCAACCGCTTGCAAAGACTACGACAACTTTGCAGGTTCGAACCGTATCCGCGCTATTACACATCCTCGAAGATCTCTTGCCCAAGGGTCCTGTCCAGGAGCTCATCATAATTCAGCGGCACTGCATTATAGCGTACCCGCGACTGATCAATTATGGCGAAGGCTACGACGACATCATCGACGCCAACGGCAAGGATGGAAATGCCCTTCCCCCGACCGCTAATAGTAAGATGGAGGAGCACTACAAAAAGATGTACAGCGATGAAATGCAGGTTCGAAACATCGTCGAGGTTCTTGATCGGTACAAGCATTCCAAGGATGCCCTAGATCAAGATGTCTTTGCATGCATGATTCATGGACTTTTCGACGAGTACAGCCACTACGTCGATTATCCACTGGAAGCCCTTGCCACAACAGCCGTGTTGTTTGGCGGCATCATCTCGCACAAGCTCATTTCAGGGCTGCCTCTCCAGATAGGACTTGGGATGATCTTGGAAGCAGTTAGGGACCATGTTCCCGAGGATCCCATGTACAAGTTCGGTCTGCAAGCGCTGATGCAACTCCTAGTCCGGTTCCGGGAATGGCCCCTTTTCTGTCGGCAGTTGGTCCTGATCCCGGGACTTATGGGAACAGAAGCGCACAAGAAAGCCGAAGAGGTCGTGATGGAGCATGAAGAAGATCTTTCTCGCGGCCCGAACGGAGCGGGAACGCCACATGGAGTCGGCTATCCAGGAGACACGTTTCCCAACGGAAACTCTGAAGAACAAGCCAATGCAGACCGCCAGGCTCCTGCTTTCTCCTCCATCAATGTCGATCCCCCAGCCCCCGAGATGGATTTCGAAGACCCCAACGAAGTCGAACAGGATAAGGTCCAGTTTGTTCTCAACAACATCACGGAAGGGACACTGGTATCGATGTCCAGCGAGCTGCGAGAGACCCTGGAGCGAAGGCATCAGCAATGGTTCGCCTGCCAGCTTGTCGAGGAGCGTGCCAAGATGCAACCAAACTACCATCATGTGTATCTCGAACTGGTCCGGCTCTTGGAGGACTCGTCTCTTTGGAGTGAGGTGCTGCGTGAGACGTACGTCAGCGTGTCCCGCATGCTTAACTCAGAGGCTACGATGCAAAACTCTACGGAAAGAACGCATCTCAAGAATCTCGGTGGTTGGCTCGGTCTCATGACTCTTGCGCGCGATCGACCGATCAAGCACAGGAACATTGCATTCAAGCAGCTACTGATCGAAGCACATGATACAAAGAGGCTTATTGTCGTCATCCCTTTTGTGTGCAAAGTCCTTGTCCAAGGTGCCACATCGGCGGTATTCCGGCCTCCTAATCCTTGGCTGATGGATATTATCCACCTACTGATTGAGCTGTACCATCATGCTGAGTTGAAGTTGAATCTCAAGTTTGAGATTGAGGTCCTTTGCAAGGGTTTGAATCTCGATCACAAGAGCATCGAGCCCTCGGGAGAAATCCTCAACCGACCGGTCATCGAGGAACCAGCGGATGTTCTGCCTCAAGAACAGATAGATGCCTTTGAAAACCTATCTCTGAACGGCATGGGATCCGCCGTCGGCGCTGGCCTCACCCCCCAGGCCATTGCACCGACTATTCCAGACCTCGGCCCCCTTATTAACATTCCCCCAACCAACGAGATGGTTGTCACCTCCACCCGACTCCACGATATTGTGCGGACTGCTCTCAGCCGAGCCCTGCAGGATATCATTCAGCCTGTTGTGGACCGGTCCGTCACTATTGCTGCCATCTCAACGCAGCAGATGATTCACAAGGATTTCGCTACCGAGCCCGATGAGAACCGCGTGCGAACCTCTGCTATCAATATGGTGAAAGCCACAGCGGGAAGCCTCGCGCTTGTTACGTCCAAGGAGCCACTTCGAGCCAACTTTACCAATTACATGCGGAACCTGTCGAACGACATTCCTCAAGGTCTGCCAGAGGGTACCATAATCATGTGCGTCAACTCCAACCTCGACTTGGCCTGCAACATTATCGAGAAGCAGGCAGAGGAAAGGGCGGTGCCTGAGATTGAGGAGATGATGGAGGGAGAACTGGAAGCTCGTCGACGACACCGAATGCAGCGACCCAACGAGCCTTACTTCGACTCGAGCCTCAGCCGTTGGGCCATGACCATCCCGCACCCGTACAAGCTCTCGCCAACCAGCAACGGATTGAACAGCGACCAGATGGCCATATACGAGGACTTTGCTCGACAACCCCGTAGCGCCGCTGCCCCTGCTCCCTCCCACGGTCCCTCGACATCCGACGCGACTAGATCTCTCGCCAACGAGGTCCTGCAGGAGCAATTCACGGCTATGCCCAACATACCAACTCCTGCCGAAACCCCTGCGATTCAGCAACACCTAAGCACTCAGATGCAGCAGCCCTATGCTCCTGTGCACGCAGGTGCCAATGCCATGTCTAACGGAAGATCGCCTGGGTTCACCATGGACGTCCGCGGCCTAGCTGAGCGAGTTAACAAGCTACTTCAGGAACTCCTGAGGGTAGCAACCGAGGCTCGCGAGGATCACTTCCAAGGTCTACCACGACCCCATCCTGTCCTGGATGTTGTCGATGCTTTGGTTCAGCACATCATCAAGACATCGCAGAACTCGGAGGAATTCGCCATATACGCCGCTGAGCAAATCAGCCAGATCATCTTCTCGCCAGTGGAGGACAATTTGACGCTCGAGAGCTTGGTTCATGTTTTGGAGACGTTGAGAAAGATATCCGGCCCTGCACTTAACAATCGTGTCCGGGCTCTGTTCAGCCAACAACCAGGGCCCACCTTCTTGAGCCTACCATTGCTGGCGGCATTGACTCGGACTGACTTGTTGGATTGGAGGAACATCGACCATGCCATGTCCAAGGCCCTCCAAGCCCGTAAGGAGGGCTCGCTCGACTTCTTGGAGCACATGCTTGACCTTACACTTCTCAACAACCGCCCTATCGCCCTATATGCTGATTTTGTCAGGACGCTAGAGGCCGCGTGGGCTTGGATCAGAGAAGACCCCGGCTCAGCTATTGGTCAACGAGTCAGGTCCAAGCTGATCGGATCTGGATTGTCGCATCCTTCGCAGACAGACGACCAGGTGCTATATCGACAAGATCAGATGGACTATGTGCTGGACGAGTGGGTTCGTCTGTGCAACAACCACAACGCCTCGGACGCGTCTGGATCGATCTTTGTGCAACAACTGCAGGCCAAGCAGGTTATCCGAGACCGTGATGATTTCTTCGTCTTTCTCCGTACCGCCATCGATACATCAGTTGAGCGATTCGAGCATACGATGCACCCTGGCGCCCTCACCGATGTCTACATCACGGTCGATGCGCTTGCCAAACTCATTGGAACCTTTGTCAGCTTGCAGTTTGACACATCATCCACGCGAGCGTCATTTGTCGACTCGACCATGGCGCTGATCACACTGGTCCTCAACCATCACAGCGTCAAGCGAGGGGAGCAGCTTAACCAGAGGGTCTTCTTCCGACTGCTGTCGATGCTCTTGCATGAGATCCACGCCATCTCGGAGGACATTTCTGAAGAGGAGCGCCGCGACATTCTGCTCAGGATCGCCTCCCGACTTGCTGGCATGGGCCCTGCTCTAATTCCTGGCTTTACCTATGGCTGGCTCTCTCTTGTTCAGCACCGCGCCTTCATGCCGGTCCTCCTCCAACTGCCCGATGGTGCCGGATGGGGACTGTTCGTCGACCTCGTCTGCCAGCTCTTTGAGTCTCTTGGAGATCAACTGAAGGTGTTTGAAGTATCCAACATTGCCAAGGACATTTACCGAGCCGCGTTCAAGCTTCTGATCATCCTGCAACACGACTTTCCCGATTTCGTCGCGGCTAACCACGTCAGAATCTGTGCCAGCATCCCGCCGCACTGCACACAATTGATCAACGCCGTGTTGGCCGCCAACCCTCAGCAGAGTCCCAAGTTTGTGGAGATGAATGCCAAGAACCGATCCGACGAGTCCAGGGTCCATCCCGGCCTGGTGAACGAGGCCACTGTAATCCTCCGAGATGCTGGCCTACTTGGCGTTGTCGACCAGGCCCTCCAGAGTGGCCCGTCAGAGGACATTGTGGCTAACATCACGCACTCCATGACACACAACGCTCCCAAGGTGACAACATATGGCCATGTGCCCGTTGCGATCAACCTTGCCGTCATCAATGCCGTGGTCATCTACATTGGACAGCACGCCGCAGACCAGGCAGCTCAGGCTGGCACGGCTGTCACAGTGTCTGGAGACGAGTATGAGGTTTCAACCCTGTCCCTCATCATCCACGAACTCCCTGCCGAGGCCAGGTACTATCTTTTGGTCAGCGTGGTGAACCAGCTACGCTTCCCTAACGCGCACACCGACTTTTTCAGCCAGGCGCTCCTCTATATCTTCAGCAAGGACCTGGAGGATCCCGAGGAGACGGAGATCCGACAGGGAATAACGCGAGTCCTCCTCGAGCGGTTGGTTAGTTTCTGGCCGCAGCCGTGGGGCCTGCTGTTTACGGTTGTGGAGATTGTCAAGTGCGACAAGTACAATTTCTTTGAGCTCCCTTTTATTAAGGCGATTCCTGAGGTAGGTTTGAGGCGTGTTTGGCAGAAACTTCCAGGAGGCTAACATTGTCATGGCAGGTTGCCGACAAGTTTGGCCAGGTGGTTCAACGAGGTTAAGATGCATGATGTGACTGACTATATGGCGGGAACTGGGTATAACGGCACAAGGAGGAACGAACCTATACGGAAGCACATGCCATTGGTGGACATTTCTGGTTTGGGACGGCACATAGTTGAGAGGGAGGGGCGTTGGGTCCAAAAAGAAGTGAGAATTATAGAGAAGCAGGGTCTTTGCGGTCCAGGGACAACCTCGTCTGGGGGGACGGGGCGGTTCATGACCCATAACATTTTGCTGTAATACTGTATCACTGTATGATAGTAGTTTTAGGATGTGTCGGAAAACAACACCAGGCGTATGGTTGGTCACGAAGCTTTATCACTTTGGGCGAATGCATATCAATATTGTCGAGATGACCAGGGTATACTCTCATATGGTGACATAGCCTCTCATCACTGTGGTAGCTGTCCCTGAGAGCTCGACTTTGTCGATCTTTGACTCGTTCGCCGTAACTTGGACTACGATGTTACTCTCCCTACCCATCTCGACTCCCTGGTCGATCTCATAACGAAAGGTCTGATCTTGGAGATCGGGCTGCTGAAGGGTGAGGAAACTGGAAAGGCCACAAGCAGCACTGCCCGTCGCAGGATCTTCCATAGCTGCTTCCATCATCCTAGTGCGAATGGAGAAGATGTGTACTCCATTCTCTTGACGTTGACCAGTAAACACGTAGTAGTACTTGAACAAGGGGCCAGTCTGCCAGTCGTCATCAAGGAGCCCATCGGCAGAGAAGGGCACGACGCATGTCTGGACCTTGGCAAGGTGCTCCAGATCGGGCAGGTTGATGAGCACAAACGATAAACCATTGACGATACTGAAGAGTGGGGCTTCGAGTTCGAGTTGACGGATCGCTGGGTCGGCAGAGAGCTGACCTGGTGCGGGAGAAGGCAGTTGGGCGAGGGTTCTACGATGGCGGCGAACGTTATGCGGGATAGCAGCTTGGATATGACCAGGGCGAGTCTGGACGAGAGCAACTGGGCCTGCTTTTGTGATGACAGTATTGACGCCTTGGGGGATAAGCGAGACGGCAGTGCCGATAGTGGGATGGCCAGCAAAGGGAACCTCTTCATCGGTGGTGAAGATGTCGATCACCCGGCGGGTGACATCACTCTCGGGGCCATCTGGGTTGACGTCGTGGACAAAAACAGTCTCGGAGAGGTTGAACTCGCGGGCGATGGTCTGCTTCTGCTCCTGCGAGGGTTTTGGGACATCGGCGGGAATGGTGACCACGGCGAGGGGATTTCCGCGATAACGGGTCGTTGTGAAGACGTCGAGAGTTACAAAAGGAAACTCCATGGCTTGGCTGGATGAGGCTGGTGTCGGATGCTACTGTACGGTAATCTAGAGTTCTAGACGTAGACGTCACCAGAGTGATAGCGGCCGGATGTGACGAAGTGAAAATGTTGGTGGGGTGGGGTCGAGGTGAAGCAAAAAGCAAACAGGGCATGATAGGCGATGCCTGAGTCAGGAGAGTTGAGTCCATCGGTGTAGGGTAACTCAATCAGCCGACCCGGCCACGCCAAGTGCCGTCCCACCGTCCATGGCCTCTACACTTGTGTAAGGCACCAAAGTCTAGCGGAGCGGAACAGCCGACGCCTGGTGTCGACTAGAGGGTGTGATCTAACGAATTGGAGAACAGAGCCTCGCGGTCCGGCCTGAGGCAACACGGACGGCAGAGGCGGGTGCCTCGAGGCAGGGAGAATGATGGTCTGTTGGCGCTAGGACGTGAAGAGTGTCGAGGGAGCTGCAAGGGAAAGGGATTGATGATCTACAGCTCTGATTATCGCCAATGACTTCACAGGTGGAGGGCTGCTGGTGAGGGCGGAGATTTGAGCTGTGGAATGTGGATGAAGGGGAAATGACTTTTTCCGTACAGTAACTGACTCTCCATCTCGACTTATATCCGAGGCCATCCTTCGGCAACGCCAGCCTCGTTGGAAGCGCAGCGCGAGTTAACTAACAACAAAATCATCAGACGATGCGGCATGGGTGTTGACCCGGCTTCGGGGGTTCTGCTCAGCCAGAAAGATGGAGCTTGGGCGAGATCCATCAGGGAGAGGTCGAAGTCTGGTCTAGGCGCAAGTGGAGAGATCCATGGGCCATGTCAGTTGGAGACTGGCGCGGCAAGGGGCGTGAGCTAGTAGCTGCATGGAAGCCCACCTCGTGGCATCTCAGCTTGGAGAGAGTGACATGTTGCTGCTGTTTCGAGGTTGCAGTGTAGGGTAAGTGTTCGTGCCAATCACTCGGTTCATGGAGGGGAGGACAAGAAAGGACGATCAGGAGGAGGCGAAATCTTTTTTAGAGATGGCGATGATGACGCAGCCAGGGCGAGGCGAAGGAGGGGTTGCTGTTGGGGGCCAGGGTCTGCTCGGCCGGTGGTCGGTGCTGGACAAGGTACCTATGTAAGTCATGTACGAGAATTGGATGTTTGGCCGTGTTTGCTGTGTGCAAGTCAAGTTTGAACAGGCAGACAAAAGGCATGTCTCATGTCAGACAAGGGCTGAGACGAACTGTTCCAGCAGCAGCATGTCACCTGGAAACGACACAATAATAATTTAGAGGTTGAAATGAACGTCAGAGACATCATCGACAACAATGAGCCACAAACAACTCGACTTACACAGAGCGAATGCAGGGTTGGAGAAGAACTGACCACCTCGCTCGCTAACCGTGTAAGCCATGATCATGGGTAAAAAAAAAAAAGATTCGGATGCCGCGGCTTGAAATCCACCAGAACTCGTACAATGGAGAGGGATTTACAGGAAGAGGGAGAAAAGGGAAACGACACCGAATTACCGACGTCGTGATTGGTCGTCGAGGCTAGACAAGTCGAGACATTTTCTCTTACACATCGGTTTGCGCCAGGGACTTGGCCTGGCATGGATGGGGGACCACGCGTAGTTACATACGTACATAGTATCGACAATCTGCAACACCAGTCCTCGGCGACAAGAAATTGCCATGGGCGACGGCGGACCTCGAGATGATTCGGCCCACTCGTCACCCATAACTCCATCGAATTCAAGATGAGGGTGGGTACATTGCATTGGTAGGGACATTGCCTTGAACCGTATCCGTTCCGTACCTACTGCAAGTACCTTGCCAAACCTACCAAGCCCAGGACCCTTTTGCATTCGCTGTGACGCTCGTGCATGATACAGGCTACAGCAGCATAAGCGCAGGGCATGCGGTGTAAGTTGGTTGCACGGAACCAGAGAGCAACAATGCGGTGTGCTCTTCGAGTTCGCTTCCACGTCCGGAGACGAGAGTTCGCTTCCTCGGCGGTTCCCCCCCCCAAAAAAAAGACCCAGAAAAAGAAGTCCGATGGGATTTCAGGGTCCCCCCAAGCGCTACGAAGCTAACGAGAGAAGACCACGGTCCCCTCTCCGACCCGAGGTGGCCCGGCCGGAAGGGCCAGAAGGAGGCGGGTGAGGCGGGAAAAAAACAGCGAGTGAGTGAGCGGCTGCTCTTTTTTTTTTTCTGCTGCTGCCAGGGATGAGGCGAGGCTCGATCTCGTTGGAGTAGCATGGGCTAAACTAGAAACAGAAAAGAAGCAGAAGACGCTGGGCGAGTCAGACGGAAAATTGTAAACATAATGCCGAGGCCATGATTTGAGCCGCCGTGATCGTTGCCTCTTTTTCATCAATTGCCTCTGCCATGATCAAGAAAAAGAACAGAAAAAAAAAGGGGCCGAATAAACAATCAAGTCTCTGTTCAACATGTTTGCTTGGGCTGAGGTTGGGGTCACCGCTGCCTGAAGAGTGCGCGCTCTTTGCCTGCATCTGCCTGCGGAACCCCCTCCTCAAACAACTTTTTTTTTTTTCTTCCCTCTCTTGCGGCTGGATGTACAGTTGCAGGGGGAGTCCCCCATCAGCCATGGACATGGATCTTCCCAGATGCCCACTAGCTAGGTTGTAGGTTGGACCCACTGAAGTCTAGCGCGCCCCACCCACGGCAGCCATGCAAGCCAGCGCCAGCCAATGGGCGCCTCCTGAAACGAAAAAAAAAGTTCGAGCTCTCGTGCTCTTTCTTTGCCTGGGGGACAGAGACACACACACACTTTTTTTTTGTGTGTGTCCCTCTTCTTCTCTTCCCTCCTCACCTTCAAGAAAAAAAAAGGTGGAGGCGTTGCTCCTGCAGAGTCTCCAGCCCGTGATGGATCCGAGTACCTTGCCTTTGAACCTATCAGCTTACAAGCATTGATTCATTGACTGCCTGAGAGCTCCGTTGTGCCTTCCCCAGTTGTCCGTCGCCCACCTTCCGCCCCCATCCCATCCCCTTCCATGTTCCTCCTCCTCGTGCTTGTCATCCATCCATCGCCGCTCCCTTGCTCCTTCCTGTAGTTGACCCCCCCGTAGACAGACCGCTCTCTTCTCCTCCTCCTCGTCTCCTCGTCTCCTCCACCCCCTCGACCCTTCAGATCCCTTCAACAACAAACAATCCCACCCCTTCGGTATCCCCTTGCGACTTTCCTCCTCTTTCACCTCGTCTCTTCATCCCCAGCTAGCTCGTCACCACCGCCTCTTCTAGATCGATAGACTCGATAGATCTCTCGATCCACCTTCAACACGTGCGGATAGACAGCTCGCCTGCTCTTCAACAACCGTCCCATCCCAGCAACCGATCCATGGAAGTCGACTTTGGCTTCTCTCCCAGATAGATCAGCCCAAAACCCCTCTTCTCGCCTAGACATCATCACCATGCCTTATAATACGCGCCGCAAGTCGCTCTCTTTACCCAGTCTGGGCATCCACGTTCCCATGACACACGCCGCTCGCGCTGCTGCTGCTGCTGCCCCCAAGAGCGCTTCACGGTCATCTTCGTCCTCTTCTGCCTTGTCGCCACCCACATCTGGCACCGAGGGCTCCGAATCGCATCCTAGCAAGCGACAGAAGCGATCGCACGCCGACGACGTTGCCATTGAGCAGACACCGCCTCCTTCGCCAAGACCGGACTCGAGCCTCGACCTAGACGTTGAGCAGTCCAAGATTGACCTCGAGGCGGTAAAAGACGACATTGTCGAGGCTGTTATTATCCAACTACAGTCAACCGGAAACCGACCTCATCTCGTCAAGGAGCTGGCGACCGTTCTGGCTCAACGTCTCGCCTCTGTCCAACAGTGAGTTTTACACCCCTCAACCCCTCCGCCTCCCGTGCGCTAACATTCCAATCATAGCTCCGCCAACCCCTGTGCCATTATTTCCTCACGGTTGGCTTCGTATCTGAAGCGCACATGCTGGAGCGCTCAAAAACCATGCCCTCTTGCCAAAGAACTCGAGAGCGTCCATCCTCGGAGAACCTACTTCTTCCTCACTACCTGCCCTCGTCAGGCTCTTCCAGACCCCAGCTCCGTCGTGCCCTCTCGTCGCGCCCTCGATACTCCTTCGGTATCGCTGACGGACGATTCCGGTTCAGATGACACGGATGCCCGACGGCGTGAGCTCAGCCCATCGCCCGAGGTGGATCTGTCGGATCACAACTTTGACGAAGGCGACGATGACCTTACCATGCCCGCCACTCCCATTGGCTCTCTTCCCTCCCATCAACGCTACGTACCAAACCGCCGCGACAGCCGTCGCAACTCGCCGCCTCTGGAAAAGGATGAGCGCGAGTTCACCCAGACGGCTGATTTCTTGCTGAAACGCAAGTTTACGGAAGAGGCACCTGTTCCCGAGACCAACGACCGCGCCCATACCTCCGAGTATGGCTACCGCGACGACTTTTGGTTCGGTGAGCACCTCATGCTTGGTTCGACTGCCTCCCTCACTAGCCCCTCCATGAAGCCGATGTCGACCATGACACCAAGCGCGCGCAAAGACGAGGAGGCAGAGAACTGGCTGAAGCTCAGCAAGCTTATGGAATGGGATAGACCATGCGAAAGCATCGAGATTGACGAGATCGACTGCTTGTTTGACGCATGCTGAACGACGACAACTCCTTTGGGCAGGCGCAAGGAGTTACAAGAGGATGACTGAGATGACGACTCCGCCTTGTCTGCGACAGCGGATATACGATACATACATATTAATTGCATGGAGCGGGGTCTGTGGAAGTATTTGTACTATTAGACTTGCCTGGTGTTGACGGTTGGATTGATTTGGTTGGGGATGGGATTGGGATGGGGATCGGGGGAGATCCCTCATGACTTGATTTACTTGGCGCATAAAAAGGACGCGCGCGTATCTTGGATCGGAAAATGTGCAATGCCACTCAGATTGAGCTTCTCTACGTTACGTCTTGGATAATACTGTACATAGTCATATCTTACAAGCCCTTCTCACTTTCTCCAACTCGAGGTTCGATGAAACCAATGTCATGCATCAAAGGCGGTGAGCGTGCGCATCATGATCGGTCCTTTTCGGTCACTCGCAGTTCGACCCAGACCAGGGTGCCCATTTGAAGGATGTTGGGCCGCTCCACCTTGACCACTTCGAGGCCGGGCGTCTTGAGCGCAGCCTCCTCAACGATACCCTGTATGTCTCGATTCCACCAACAGCCGTACTTTTCGAAATGCTTGCCTGCATTCTTATCCAGTAGTCCGTTGACGATGCCATACCAGCCCTTGCCATGCTCTAGGAGGATAATGCGCCCCGATCCTGGCTTGACAGCTGACGCCAAGTTGGTCAGAACGGCGACAGGGTCCGACACGGAGCACAGACCAAACGTCTGAATAACAGTATCGTATTTCGTCGACGGTGTTGAGGGCCCGGGGAGAGGATGGTGTGCGTCGGAATGGATCAGGCGGAGTTGGTCGTCGAGGTAGGAGAGCTGACCACCGGTATGGTCGGTCATGGTGGATGCGCGGACGATCGGGGCGGATGATTTCATGGGCGGGACGGTCTTGACGAGGCGTTTCCGGGCGACGTCGAGCATGTCGACCGAGATATCGAGGCCGGTAAATGATGTTATCCCGTGAGGCGTGTCAGCGCCAGCCTTGTCTTGCTTTTCCCCCTTTGCCTCCGACACACGCTCGTTCAGTGGCTCCCAGTTGTAGTATTCGAGGTTTCGCCCTGTGCCCATGGCTAGCTCCAAGACATGTCCTGTCGCACGCGCAGCGAGGCGCTTCCGTAGACCGGTGATGCCCATCCACCACTCAGGCAGGTTGAGTTCCTTGTCAAACTGCTCGGCGTTGTCGCCGTCGAGCGCCGGCGGCCGGCCGGTCGGGGTGGAGTGCTCGCATGGCCCGCTGCAAGGACAGGCCTTGAAGGAGGCGGCGACGGTGCCGAATATGTAGAAGCCGAGGGCGCCAGCAGCGAGGGCTGCGCCGGTGAGAGGGAGCCAGGTCGAGCGCCAGAGATCGAGGAGGGTTTCGGCTTTCGGAGGGGGAGGAGGCGGCGGGGGCGGTTGTGAGGAAGCTTGGGGTTTACTGTAGATAGTGTTAGGATTTCAAGTTGGAAGCAGTTGACTGCTTTGAAGGGAATATACGGCTTGTAGGGTCTCGTAGTCTTGGGCGGAGGTTTGTGTGGTGTCTTTGAGGGGCGGGGAGCTCGCGAGGAAGAGCTCGCAAGGCGCCATTGAGATCGAACGGACCTCACGATGAGGCCTCTAGTCGGAGATATCATCGAGTTACTTGTCGTATATGCATTGGAGACATGAATTGGGTGAGACTGCGACCGGCGCAGCTGTTGAACGTTGTGACTCCGAGGTTTGAATGACTGTGCGAAAATAGATTCAAAATCCGCCCAACGGGGTTCCCGCCCCGGAGCGGGTCGGCTCCATCCGACAAGCCGGTTCGAAAAGTGGACCCGATTCTTGGGGTGCAGCTCATCACGACGGACCGTGAACGGAGGAGATTGAACTTGTGACTTACAACGACATCGATAACTCGTCTATCAAAATCTATGACATGACAACAAACTAGAACACTCGATAATCGCGACTAGTTCATCATCAGATCTCTTTGCTCATACTGGCGGCGCCGTAGCCATGGCAACTCAGAATGACCTCCAAGAGTTGCTACGCCTGCTCACGGCGCGCAAAATGTCCATGATGGCCGCCATGGGCCAAGTAAAAGCCCTCCAGACAAAGAACCTCCGAAGGTCTGCCTTGAATCCCCCAAGCCTCCAAACTCTGCAAGGCTGACGCGTTTGACTCCCCAGCATCGCGCAGATCGCTGATGCGCCCCTGGCAACAGTCGAGGAAGCCCTCGGCGGAGATGCCAAGGCGGCAAAGAGCCTGCACGCGGCGTGCAAGGCGCATGGGAAGAAGTCTGGTGGGAAGCGCGCGGCGGAGGATGGAGGAGTCGGTGCTGGGGCGAAGAAGCCCAAGTTGGAGGCGCATCGACGGGATCTTGACTACAGCGCCATGTCTGGTGATGAGCTCGAGACAGCGCTGGAGCTACCCCTAGAGGAGGACGAGGAGGTTATTCGGAACACGACTGTCGTGACCAACAGGGCGCCCTTGATGTTGGCGTTTGTGGTTGAGTTGTTGCGATTTACAATGCCGGAGCAACCACCGAGTAGTCGGTTGAGTCTGGCTCAGGCTGTGGTGAGCGCTAACTCACGGTCGAAAGCCGTGAGCATAGGCATCGAAAAGGCACCTCCAGGAGGTGAGCAGAAGATCCCGGAAGGCCAGCCAAAGATCAGCATCATGGGTCGTCAAGTCCCTGTCCTCAAGCGAGGCGGCTACAACTGGTCCGGCTCATCACAACCGTCGTCATCCAACGCCTCTTCAGTCACGCTTCAAGGAAGCCCGCCGAAACCCAAGGGCTGGACTGCAAGTCAGAAACTGAGCTCGAAAGGATCCGTCTTTATAGCTCACGCCATCCCTGTGTCATCACCATCTGCACGGCCAGCACTTTTCAAATCTCTGATGGCCGAGAAGCCCGAGCTCGAAACTGCGACTCACAACGCCTGGGCTATCCGGACAAGCTTTGGAAACTCGCCCCTGAAACAAGAGGCATCTTTTGACGATGGCGAGTCGGGTTGTGGAAATTTTCTACTTCAGCAATTGCGTGAACTTGACATCAGCAACACGTTGGTTGTGCTCACGAGATGGTATGGCGGCGTGATGCTGGGTCCGGATCGATGGCGCCTCATGAGAGAGTGTCTCAACGACGCCCTGTCATCTCAGAAGCGTATATCGAGTCTCAACGGTGAACCTGTGTGGGCGCTCGACACGGAGGATAAGAAGCCCACGACCTCGACGGTTGGTATGGCCATCCACAAACCCGAAGGAGCGCGAAACTACATTCTCCGAGCCTTTGCGCCACCAGAGACGGGAGTCAAGAAGACAGTTGCCGCAGCAAACGAGGAGAAACAAGAGCACTTGGGTCGTGTGCTAGGTGCCCTGCGGCTACTGTTTGCGAGCTGGGCGGACACGCTGAGCCAAAGTGATCTCGACAAACGAGCCTGGAGCTGGTACATGAGTGTGCGGCCAGACGTGGATTCTGGGCCAGCAGGCTGGGGTGCCAAGGGAACGTTGAAGTTGGAAAAGATACTAGATCTAAGGCGTAAGGAGAGCGCGTGAGACAGATACCTAGACGAGTCCATAGGTGAGGCTTGCGTTGGTGTGTCAACTACTGTTGCCGAGACATGGGCGCTGGGTAACCATGTTTGACATTAGGGTAATTGAGATAGGAATGCCTCGAATGAGACTCTATTCGACTCTATGATGGAGGTGTCATTCCATCTCGACTAGTTTGCCAACTTATTCACTGACAGTTTTGATTCACAGGTGGACGCTGTATCAGCCTCTTTGTCAATGACTGAAGTTCCCGCTATAAGACAGTGACTAGGAAGTGTCAGACCTTTACCTTGTTTCTTTGCCTTGTATGGGAGAACGCTTCTCCATCGTTGTGTCCCAGACTATGGAGCGATGGCTTTTCTGCAATGCACGATGTCATCGATTGTCACTTAGCCTGTGGTCTTCATCTATACTCATTCCCAGGCATTGCTCAGGCAGAGACGGACTCTTCAGTTAATTTCAACAAAATATCGGGCCAGAGTTGCATTCCTCCATTTTCGTATCTGTCATGTCTCATAGTCTCTAGGTTAGCTCAATGCAACACCAGCCTGTAAGCTTCCACACTGCGACTAGCTACAATCATTCTATCCTGACTTATAATAGTCTTAAGATACTTATAGTAGAACCGGAAATGTATGTAAAACATCCAAGTTGGAATGTCAACTCTCACACACCCTCCCCCCGTCTGTAGAGTTGAGCGACAATACCGGACCCGCCGCCATCAAATCAATCCCACAAGGCGTGGTGGCAGAGTGGTCTAATGCGATAGACTAGAAATCTATTCTCTTCGGAGGCGTCTGTTCGAATCAGGCCCACGTCGATTGATTCTTTTTGAGTCTGCGTCAAGGTGTTGTATGTGTGTGTGTAGATGGCTTCCCTTTTGTTTGGTGATGTAATATGTGGTGTTGAAGGTTTACAGCAACTACGCATGCCTTTGTTAATTTCAGCCAGGCACAGTCAAAGATCATTATTAAACATGATTCTCTCCTTCCCAAGCAGAACCAACAACTATCCGAGACTCAAGAAAACGCGTCCGACACGCGTTGGCCGACTCGGCGCACTCGGATTCGCCGTCCGTGACCACGAGGCCAAAGCTGTAAATATCGAAATTGAAGAGGCGGTTCTTGCCAATGATTGGCTCCGGGGGGGAATTGGCCAGCCAGAGCTGACAGCCCGGCGCTCTAGTGTCAGGTTCGACGGCCATGTCCGCTGTCATGACGAGAGAGTGCGCTGAAGCTTTAGTGGACTTTTTGTTGTTTTTACTGGCGCGGGCAACCTAACGCGCAGGCCCCCCCTCGTTACCAAACAAAGAAAGTAAACACTCGTGGCACTTGATGCATTTTTCTTTCTTTCTCTGAGGGAACAAACAAAGCCACCTGCAAAGTCGACATTCAAGAAAGAAAAAAAGGTCATATTTAAACGGCCTGAGTGCATCCATACGAGAGTTTATACGAGTCCTTTTTTCGCTGCTCGCTCTCGGTCAAGAGTCGGGAATCGCCATCTCATTTCCTTTCCTCACCCCGCTTCCAATCGTTTGTAGGTACCAAGCTATTCTATTGGAACCTCCTCCCCGCCAACCTGAACCTTTCGTTGGAGCCGCCTCACTCTCGACCGAAACAACTTCGCGCGTGTCATCACACTTTAACTTCTCTTCTCTTCGCTGTCGCTGGTCACCGACGAACAAAAAGATTCAGCCTCTCTCGCGCCGCTTCGACGATACATTCAAACGTCCCCTCTTGCTGCATGCGCGCATCTCCATCTTGACCTCCACAAGTCAAGCCTCCTCCACCGACGACCACCAAAAGCTCGACGACGATCGACGCCACAGACGCAGGGTCTTTCGCTGCTGGTATCCTTCAAAGGCGACTCGTCCGCCCTGCCATTCCTTGCCCCATATCACCCTCTGAGTTCTAGCCATGGAGAACTACCAAAAGTTGGAAAAGATTGGTGAAGGTTCGTTGCGTCGCCATCTACCGCCCACCGTCGACATGTCACCGCCAAGGTCAATGCTAACCCTCCTCAGGCACCTACGGTGTCGTCTACAAGGCCCGAGACCTCGCCAACAATGGTCGCATCGTCGCCCTCAAGAAGATCCGCCTCGAGGCTGAGGATGAAGGAGTCCCCAGCACCGCCATCCGCGAGATCTCCCTACTCAAGGAGATGCGAGATCCCAACATTGTCCGTCTCTTTAACATCGTGCACGCCGATGGTCACAAGCTATATCTCGTCTTTGAGTTCCTCGACCTCGACCTCAAGAAGTACATGGAGGCTCTTCCTGTGAGCGATGGTGGTCGAGGCAAGGCCCTGCCCGAGGGTTCTTCGCCGCATTTGATGCACCTTGGTCTCGGTGATCAGGTCGTCCGCAAGTTCATGCTCCAGCTTTGCGACGGCGTCAAGTACTGCCACTCCCACCGCATTCTGCACCGCGATCTCAAACCCCAGAACCTCCTCATCGACAAGGAGGGCAACCTCAAGCTCGCCGATTTCGGTCTTGCCCGCGCCTTTGGTGTTCCGCTGCGCACATACACCCACGAGGTCGTCACCCTGTGGTACCGAGCCCCCGAGATTCTCCTGGGTGGACGTCAGTACTCGACTGGCGTCGACATGTGGTCCGTTGGTTGCATCTTTGCTGAGATGTGCACACGAAAGCCCCTCTTCCCTGGTGACTCGGAGATTGACGAGATCTTCAAGATCTTCCGGTGAGCACTGACTTCCATGGGACCGCATAATCATAAGTACTGACCATCTCTAGGACGCTTGGAACACCCTCGGAGGAAGTCTGGCCCGGTGTCACATCGTACCCCGACTTCAAGTCATCCTTCCCCAAGTGGCAGCGTGACTACAACAATGTCCTCTGCCACAGCCTCGACGATGCCGGCCTCGAGCTTCTCGAGATGATGCTCGTCTATGACCCTGCCGGACGTATCTCGGCCAAGGCAGCTTGCAACCACCCTTACTTTGAGGAGTACATACAGCAAGAGCAGCATGCGTCCAATCAATCGAATGGATACTATCACTAGATGGGATATCAGGGATCCTACACGATGACGCACATGCATTAGACGCCTCCTTGCCAGTACGGGGCTGACTGGCGGGAGCCCACCCAGTATCCTTTGCTTTTCAGGATACGGCGAGGTGCCCAGACCTCGACCAAGCCCCGGGACATTCAACGATATGGGCGTAAAACCGGAACACACGTTATCAGGCGACGAAGATGCCCAATGATATGACATAGTTGGGGGTCTCTTGGAACTCGCATTGGTTGCTTTGCTTTACCTTGCTCGGCCTTGGACCTCGTTTACGCTCTCACCCTCTCACATATCCGCCTCCAACACCCACCCCATAGCGAGGAGCCCAATAACTACCAACGAAGGATTCATCATCTAGGACTTGAGAGGCAGTGCGATGAAGTGAGCCAACAGCGAGTTCCTTCTGTTATGTGGTTGGGCAGGTGGAAAAGAGCGTGACAGATGGAAGCGAGGACAAGGCATTTTTAGGACGGGCGGGATTTCCTTTTTTTCATGGCTTGTGCTTTTGAATGTACAGAATAGACGGTGGCACGTAATGCCTGATGCAGTTCTCCAGAATGACAGGGCAGGGTAATCAACAAAATGGCCCAACAGCATGAGGAGACGAAACCAGATGAACGATTGGCACTTGATCCGTGGCACTCAGCCCGTGATATGCGAACGTGGGAGCCTGACAGGAGTTGGGAATGCAGCAGATGACGGGACATGGCCAACAGCGGCCGCATCGTGGCGATGCAGATATGGATGGAGACGAGAGTTGGCCAACAGTTGATGGCCCAGAAACACAGCCCAATTCCAGCCCGTCGGTAACACTAGAGCCGAGGGCGTTCGAGTGACGAGTCGGCGCCGGTTGGGTCTGGTTTCAGCAAAGGCATTCTCAGATGAAACCGGACCAACACCAGATGAGGCTCCAACCGTCTCAGGCATGCCAGCACTGCCACAGCAACCCACCAACGCACTAGACTAATAGATCTAGTCGTTCATACCAATGGATTTCAACAGAGCGTCTATCAGTCGAGTTGGGTCGACGAGTATAGCTTCAACAAGCGCCCGTAGGTTAAAGCATGACAGAGGAGCCGCCCAAGAGCCGCCCGTTCACGTACCCTGCGATGACCTATTTCCATCCTCACCCCCAGAAAGAGACTAACCTCACGGCGTGTATGTGTATTAGACGCCCGAACAAGGGTCAAAAGTGCGGTTCATGAAACTGGGCGCTTGCGGGGATGAGTGGAGGGGGTTTAAAAAGCAGCATGTAAGCGCCTGGGTTGGGTATCATGTTTCACGAAGGATCCGAAACGATTACAGTGAACGGAAGCGTTATTCTGCCGGGCGGGCGAACGGGCGCTTCTTGCAGGGGAAACGCTGTTCTTGCTTCTACATTACATTACATGTTGGGGGGTTGCTTGAAGGCGCTTGGAGGTGCATATTTGGGGGGAGAGGCAGCCAAACAGACGTGGTCTAGGCGATCTAAGCGCCCAACGCCAAAAATAATTCCGATGCATTTTTTGGTTACCAGCGAAAATGCTCCAAAAGACAACAGAACGATCCAAGCGCTCTTGGCTACAGCAGAAAGAAAAATAGGTCCTAGGATAGAAATCCTGCAACGTTGCAGAATAGATCGTCATTATGCATAGAGAATCCCTACACTGCTGAAATATAATCTTCAGGCAAGCTCTGGCGGCTGTGCAAAAAACCAGCTTTCCATTGCAAGCTGGGGTTCGGCTTGAGCCGAGAGGGAGAGTGGGGCGGGAGGCCCTCTGCCTCGGCATTTTCATCCGGAGGCAGCCCGGGATTTTAAGTGGGGACGCAACTCCGGGCGGACCGGCCGGGGCGGAGAGGGAGGGAAAGCTTCGGGGGCACGGAGGAGAAAACCTAATCTGGGTAATGCCAAATGCACAATGAATCCTTTAAACAAGGCTGTGGGATAATTTTCGCTGGGAATGATTGGTAATATGCGGGTAAGGATATATCCTG